GCAGATCGGGCTATTTTTGGGCTGTATTTTTGCCAAACCTTGACTGCTCTTTAGAAGGCCAGATCCTGAAGATGAAACTCAAATACTTCGGCCATCTAATGAGAAGGAAGGACTCACTGGAGAAGAGCCTAATGCTGGGAACGACTGAGGGCAAAAGAAGAAGGGGATGGCAGAGAATGAGGTGGCTGGATGGAGTCACTGAAGCAATAGGTGTGATCTTAAATGGATTCCAGAGGATGGTAGAGGACAGGAAGGCCTGGTGGAACATTGTCCATGGGGTTGCGATGGGTCGGACATGACTTCACAACTAACAACAACAACAAAATGTTATGTAACCAAATATCCCTCCATCCAAGCATAGTTAGAGATCCTTTCTTGATTTCCCCCATGGTTTTCTCCCTCTGCCCTCCACCAGTTAGCATAAAAGACAGTATTTTGCCAGTCTTCCAAAATGCCAGGCAGGAAGCCAACCACAAACCATAGCAGGAATCAAAGAGATGCTTGGAACTGGGCATTTGTTTACCTACAGCTCAGCAGCCTCCTCCTGATTTCCACCAGCTTCTACAGAGATGTTTTTCCATTTTCTCATCCATCACCTTCTAAGTCCAAGGTTGCCATCAATAAACAGAACTGAAATGCTGCAGGGAAAATGTTATTTGGCTCAACAGCAGAAAAACCCTACAGCTCTCTGCTCGTTTACCCAGGGACTGAATTCAGACAACATTCTGATCAAATCAATTACCTAACCAGAAACAGCACAACATGTGTGGCACGGTGAATGTTAATCTTGGCGTTCTTTTAAAATTTTCTTAGCTTAATATGTTGTAGGAATTTAACTCTATTCAGTTGATGAATCATACTGCACTTGACCTAAGTCAAAAAGGCCAAGAAGCTATTACAAAATAATTATTTAATCATGAGTAAACATGACTGTTTTGAATTATAATACGCTGCTATTGTGGTTATTATGTTTCGTACACTCACTAGAGTCCTTCAGGACTGAGTCAATCAATAAACTGTATAAATCCTATCAATAAATCCTGCTGGAGCGCATCCTGAGTTGCAGCTTCCCAGAGCGCAGACAAATAGATGCTCCAGCTTGTTGGCATAGACCCCAAGGACCACAATAGTCAAAATTAGAATCACCCCCTTCTGATCTTTTTATCCTCTTTTAGCTTATTTTTCTTGAGGGACCTTTCAAGTGCCACATGTCAGCATTATTCCTTGGTGTTTCCAAGTTACAACAGAAACATTTTGTCATCAAAGGTCTGTTGCTCAGAAACAAGAAGAAGACGCTTTATCTCAATGTACCGCATTGGACCAGACTACCAAGGTGCCTACCAACTTCATATAACCTTCTATATGCAGTGGAGTAGCTTCTTAGGCTACAGTTTAGAGCAGCATTTCTTAACCTCAGCCTCTTTAAGATGCATGGACTTCAACCCCCAAATTCGCCAGCAAACAGAAACCAAATTAATACTGTGTTCGCATTCACCAATTTGTACTGTGGTTGACTAAATAAATCATAGTGGATTTTCTCACCAATTGGCATGGTCAACAAACCATAGTTAGCATGATGTGCATATTAGAAATCTGAGTGTCTCCAGCAATAATGTCCATAACAAACTATGATGTCAACAGGCGCCTCTTGTGCAAATGTGATTATGACATCTGGATGTCTGCTGCAATTATGTACATCACATCACTGTTACAAGCACCCCATACCTGCCTATCGTTCCCCAACTCACCTTGGCCAACTCACTGCACCAAACTCACTGCAGCCAACTCACTATGGCCAACTCGCCACGGGACAAAAGTTACACTAATATTGAAAAAATAGTGGAATAGAATAATTAAGGAAAGGATGCTGAAGGAGGGACAAAATGAAATATGAATGACTAAAATGAAAATACAGTTTTAATTATTTTAAGTAATTAAACTGAATTGTTGAATTGTCCCACCATTCCTTCACAAGTGGCAGGCTCATTTCAGACTTTGCAGAGTTCAGCTGCAGAGATTTCAACTTTGTTTTTAAAATCTGACCAGGCCAAGCAATATTTTGTTTCCTTGTTTCCTTCCTCCCACATTAAGCTTCCCTTTAGAAATAAATATTTGAAAGGAGACCTTTTACAAAGTAACTAGACATAAATCCACAGGGGAGATCTCCTCCTGCTAGGCTCTATTTAGGAATAGAAAGTTTGTTACAAGCCATTTGTCCTCTTCCACAATATTCCTTCTTGCCTAAAAGCTTGCACAACAGCACTTCCCCCAACAGTCCAGTTCCTTAATTTTGTTGCAGATGGGTTAGTGCACAAGAATGTGCAAGAATCATACAGCCGAAGAAATGTGCAGTGTTCCCATCCAGGAGAAAGAACTTGCCTTCCTCCTTATTAAACGAAAATATTGCGCACAAGAGTTCTCCTCTCCAGTCTTAAATACCAGTCTCTGTTTTAGCAGAGATGCCCTCTAATTAATTACTGTAACTGTCCAGTCTAAATCAGGAAAAAAAATGTATGAGATTGCAAGATAGACAAAACAGGCACCCGTAAAAGTAATAACCAACATGTTCAAAGATCAGCTTGCAGCCTACTCATATTGGCATAAGTTTTCCATTTATAAGGCAAATTTTGATGGAGTGTAAAAAAAGGGGCATTTCTCTATACCAGTTGTACTGTTCTTTCCCAAATCCAAGAGGCTTTCTGTGACTTGGTGTATAAATATCCTGTTTCCCCGAAAAGAAGACGTCCCCTGATAATAAACCCAATCGGGCTTTTGAGCATGTGCTAAAATAAGCCTCCCCCTGAAAATAAGCCCTCCCTGAAAATATTTAAAAGCAGAGCTGAAAATCAGGCAAGACGGCAAGAGGAGCCCCATCTTGCTCCATGCACCCCAAAATAATAAGACCTCCCCCAAAATAAGGCCAAGTGCTTATTTCGGGGTTCAAAAAAAAATAAGACAGGGTCTTATTTTCGGGAAAACACGGTATTATTGCTCTATCAAGAAGAGCCAGTAAAGCTATTTCACCTAGCTTCAGAAGCCAAATATAAAATCCAAACTTAGATAAAGACAAATGGGACAATGGGACATGTTTTTTTCCTAAATCTCATCAGTGTCCTCACTTAAATTCGGTGCCTAAATTCAGAATATTAGTTGCCTAAAAGAAACCTGGTCAGAAATATTCCTGACATGTTTCTCGGGAACACAGGAAGTTTTTGAATTGTATTAGACCAGTAGCTCGTCAAGCCTGAATCAGCATAGCAGCTTCAGAATTTTGGGCAGCAGACTCTGCTAGTCATGTCAGATATTAAACATGGGACCTTCTGCAGGCAAAGGACCTGCTTATAGAGCTGTCTTTTTCAGAAGTACTGCTCACACATACCTCTAATGAAAAAAGCCTAGTCAACCAAGGTGTCAAATGAAGACGGACAAGAAAGCAAAATTTAGCATTCACATTCCTGGTTCTCCATAGATTTGCATTAGAGGATTCTCAACAGAAGGCTGCCCAGCTATTCTAATAGGCCAGCCTTTCCTCCAGGTGTCTTCCAAGTGTGTTGCATTCTCACACCAATACTATCCAGTCCAGACAAAGCCAAGAAGCCAGCAGGATGTCTGCTTGGAGAAAGAGATCATAACTATAGGGAGGGGCACCTATTTTAAAAATATACCTTGACTGCTAGGGAAAAACACACTTTTCTCCTGCAGACTCAATTGTGTCCCAGTGGAGATCACACACAGATAGCGGAGGAATACAATTTAGCCTATGCTCACCAATCTCCTTCCTGATCCACTTAAATTTCCAAAAATAAACCAGAATAACCTCTATGCTGCCTAGCACATAATATACTTAGTTACAAGATTAACCTGAAAGAATACACTTCTTGTACCCGCAGAGGGTCACGATGGTGGTAGTGTCAAGGCTCCACCTGTCCTTTATGTGCATCAGAAGGCATCATAATTGCACCATGATTTATTTGACTTCTGACCCTCAGGAATGCTGTGAGTCAGGTAATACAGAGCACATGCCAAGAGAAACAAGACCATCAAATGCACATGGATTTGCCTTTATGATCATCTTTGCACCTCTTCTCTAGCAATAACCCTCAGACTTATGTACCACTTCATAGACCTTTTACTGCCCTCTCTAAGCGGTTTAAAGAATCAGCTTATTGTCCCCAACAAACTGGGTCCTCATTTTACCAACCTCAGAAGGATGGAAGGCCAAGTGAACCTTGAGCCCATGAGGATCAAACTCCAGGCTGGGGGCAGAGATAGCTTGCAATAGTGCATTCTAACCATTGAGCCACCAGGGCTCATAAATTGTTGGAAGCTGCCTTCCGTAATTTCCTAGTCGCCCATGTTACACCATAAGGCTACAGAGCATCTCTGGAGGAATATACAGGTAGTCCTCAACCTACGACTGCAATTGGAGCCAATTGTTCAGCAAGGCAGTTGTTAAGTGAGTTGCTCCTAATTTTACCTTTTTTTTTTTTTTTTTTTGGGCCAGGGTTATAAAGCAAATACTGCGATTGTTAAGGGAATCGTGCAGTCATTAAGCAAATCTAGCTTCCCTCATTGACTTTTTGCTTGCCCGAAGCCGGCCAGGAAGGTCACAAATGGCAATCCCACTGCAACCCTGTCAGATGTGTCAAACCCCTGAATTTTGACCCAATGACCGTGGGAATGCTGGGACGGTTGTAAGAGTGCGAGGACCGGTCCCTTATTTTCGCTGCCATTGTAACTTCCAATGGTCACTAAATTAATGATTGTAAATTGAGGACTACCTGTATCACCTTTCCCTGAAGGGGCAGCTTTTCTGTTCTGCTCAACAGAAAAGGACGGCATTTAAGAAAGTGGGAAGGAGACCTTGGAGCAAACAAAGTTTTTTTTTCTGCATGGCACGCCATAACTTTTGTGTCGCTTACTCACTCACACACACACACACACACATATACAAACACAAACACAACAGAGCCCGACGGGCACCCCCCAAACCAACCTACCTAGTTTCATCAAGCAGGCCAGCAAGATCCAGAGCGTAATCTCAAAGGGCACGTGCACCTTTTCGTACTGAAGAGCCAGGACCGGGAAAAGTTTCCGATGCTTGCCGTGCCCGTTGGTGGAAACGTTCTTGGGGTGTCCGGTGTCGGGGGGGCTCTCGGCGGGAACCGGCGGAGAGGCGGTGATGCCTTCGGTCACCAAGCTGGGCTGCGGCGTGATCCCCATGGGAGTATCCGAACCGGAGCTCCGAAGCACCGGCAGCAGCCCCAGCAGGGCAGCTGCGCCAAAGAGGAAAGGCAAAGCGCGGAAGGAACAGCGGGGCCTCTCCGGGCATTGCGCCGGCATGTTGCTCTTCAACGTTTCCCGCCCGGGAAAAGCAGGAGGCAAGACGAGAGAGAAGGGGAGGTGGGGTGGGGGGTGGATTTCCGACGACCCCGCCTGGCGATCAAGGCTTCATTGGAGGCCGGGGGTGGATGGAGGGGGGTGGGGGGGGTCTGCGGAATCAGCGAAGGCCCCCGACCGACCGGAGCCCGGAGAAATCCACCCGAAGCGGCGCTCGATCGGAGGAAGCAGCGCTCATAATTAGGAAAGGGCCAGTTGAGGACTGGGGGGTGAGGGCGGCCGGTTGCGCCTTTCCCTGCCTCGGGGGGGACCGTCTCTGCGGGGCGAGGAGGACGAGAGCGTTCAGATCCAAGGGTGGCGGCGCTCAGCCGGCGAACCGCAAGCCGATCATCCACCCGGTGTGCCTTAAATCCGCGAGCGGTCTTCAACTTGGGCCTGACTTAAGGTGGCTCAGAGGCTAAAGACCCCTGAGCTTGTCGAGCAGAAAGATCGGCGGGTTCGGCAGGTTCGAATCCCCTCGTATAAGGTCGGGGGTTGGGCTAGATGACCTCCCGGATCCCTTACTGTTACACTTCACCTCACCTCCAAGGACAGCTGAGCGGGGCAGGTCGGAAGGGCCGGCTGGGAGCAGGAGGGAGTCCCCCAGCACTACTACTACCACCAGCAGCAGCAGCAGAAAGAGCCGGGCCAGGAGAAGGGGGGCGGCAGCGGCGGCCGGGTGGGTGGGTGGGAAAGGGCAGGTTGGTCGGAAGAAGCGAGCAATCGGGAGAGCCAAAGAAAGAAAAAAGCCAGGCAAACCGCAGCAGTCAGGCCGCTTTCTGACGACCTGCAAGAAGAAGAAGAAGAAGAAGAAGAGGACGCCTCGCGGGGCGGGGTGGCTTCAGGAGGCAGGCAACCAGCCGGCAGGCCAGGAGGAGGCAGCGGCGGCGGCAGGCACGGAGGGCTTGGGAAGAAGGAAGCTGAGCTTGTTCCGGATCCTCGTGCGGCCGCAGCGGGGCGAGCTCCTCCTGGCCAGGCTGCTCCTCCCCTCCGGGGCTCCCACCGAAGCGCGGCCGGAGGAAACGCTCCTCCCGCCTGCTGCCTTAGCCCGCTCTATGCCGAGACAAGGACACCGCGGGGAGAAGCGGAGGGAGAGGAAGGGAAAGGAGGGGAGGGCGCCGACGCCGCGCCTCCCGCCCTCCCTCCCTCTCTTCCTCCCTCCCTCCCTCGCCGCCACAGCAGCAGCCTCCGCCGGCTGGAAGCAGCACTACACGCGGGAGCCTCGGCGTCGCAACCGGCCAGGAGGGAGGGCTTGGGTGCCGGCCAAGCGAAGGAGGACGCGGGGAGCGATTGCTTCGAGTCATGGCCCCGGCGCCTGGAGCAGTGGTGAAAGCCACATTTTTTTTTACTACCGGTTCTGTGGGCGTGGCTGGGGAAGGATACTGCAAAATCTCCACTCCCGCCCCACTCCTGGGGGAAGGATATTGCAAAATCTCCATTCTCACCCAACTCCAGGGGAAGGACACTGCAAAATCCCCATTCTCACCCAACTCCAGGGGAAGGATACTGCAAAATCCCCATTCCCACCCCACTCCTGGGGGAAGGATACTACAAAATCCCCATTCCCTCCCCACTCCTGAGGGAAGGATATTGCAAAATCTCCATTCCCACCCCAGTCCAGGGGAAGGATACTGCAAAATCCCCATTCCCTCCCAATCCTGGGAGAAGAATATTGCAAAATCCCCATTCTCACCCAACTCCAGGGGAAGGATACTGCAAAATCCCCATTCCCTCCCCACTCCTGAGGGAAGGATATTGCAAAATCTCCATTCCCACCCCAGTCCAGGGGAAGGATACTGCAAAATCCCCATTCCCTCCCCAATCCTGGGAGAAGAATATTGCAAAATCCCCATTCCCACCCCACTCCAGGGGAAGGATACTGCAAAATCCCCATTCCTTCCTCACTCCTGAGGGAAGGATATTGCAAAATTTCCATTCCCTCCTCACTCCAGTGGAAGGATATTGCAAAATCTCCATTCCCACCCCACTCCAGGGGAAGGAACTGCAAAATCCCCATTCCCACCCCACTCCTGGGGGAAGGATATTGCAAAATCTCCATTCCCACCCCACTCTGAGGCCAGCCAGAGGACGTATTTGCCAGTTCTCCGAACTGCTCAAAATTTCTGCTACCGGTTCTCCAGAACCTGTCAGAATCTGCTGGATTTCACCCTGGCCTGGAGACGTCTTTAGGTGGGCTGTTTATAGCCAGCCGCTTTCCAAGGGCAGCTACCGAGCCGTCGACTGAAAAGTGTGGGGGGGGGGTGGGGATGGGGAGCAGCAAGCCGCGATGGCGGCCACCAGGTCACACCTCCCCCACCCTGCAAAGAGAAAAATCACCTCAGCAAATTAGTCTTGTTAGAGATTCTCGGTCATTCAGATCGTCGTCGTCCCAAAGGTGTTTCCGCCCCCCCCGGGGGGCAACTGGACTTTCTTGGGTTTTTTTTTTCCTTTTGAAGACATTTCGCTTCTCACCCAAGAAGCTTCTTCAGCTCTTGACTGGATGGTGGAGGAATGGAAGGATTGATACTCCTTGCAGACAGCTGGACATTGGCATCCTATTTTAGCCAGCTGTTAACATGGGAGAACGAACCCAACAGGACTTCAGATTCAGCAGTCCGCTTATCAAGGAGAGAAGCAGCCTGGAATTAAGGAGAAACTTCCTAACAGTGAGGACAATTAACCAGTGGAACAATTTGCCTCCAGAAGTTGTGGATGCTCCATCACTGCAAGTTTTTAAGAAGAGACTGGACAACCATTTGTCTGGAGTGGTGTAGGGTCTCCTGCTTGAGCAGGAGGTTGGACTGGAAGACCTCCAAGGTCCCTTCCAGCTCTCTTATTCTGTTATTATTTATTCATTCATTCATTCATTCATTCATTCATTCATTCATTCATTCATTCATTCGATTTATATGCCGCCCTTCTCCGGAGACTCAGGGCAGCTTACAATGCATTTTTTAAAAAAAAGAAAAAGAAAAAAAACATTATAAAAACATTTAAAAATTAAAACATTAAAACCCATTCACACCATTCATGGCCGGATCTCACAAGATCGCAAGAGCGAGATTAACGGCTCCAGGCCTGCCGGGAAAGCCAGGTCTTCACCGCTTTTCGGAAGGCCAATAGGGTGGGGATGGTCCGGACCTCAGGAGGTAACTGGTTCCAGAGAGCTGGGGCAGCCACAGAGAAGGCCCTCCCCCATGGGCCCACCAGCCGACATTGTATAGCTGACGGGACCCGGAGGAGACCAACTCTGTGGGATCTTATCAGTCGCTGGTATCTGCATTTAAAAGACAAAAGCTGCTCTTTTGAAGATAGCAAAGTCCACATTTTGGACAGAGGCTCACTGGTTTGAAAGAAGGGCCAACTATGGCAAAATTGAACAGCTCTCTCTCAAGCTGTTCAATTGAACGGGGGGGGGGGGAATGCAACATCATTGATTTTCAGTCTACAACACAGTCCTTTTCAACAGTTCCAAGAAGGGTCCACACCCATTTGCACCACTCGGGTGACCCTGAAGACACAGATAAAACCTCCAAGTGGCCTCAACGACTCTCTAAAAGGATGCAAATGGCCAGCTGTCTGCAAGGAGTATAAATCCTTCCACTCCCCACCATCCAGTCAGAGCTGAAGAAGCTTCTGGGATGAGAAGCGAAACGCCTTCAAAGAAAAAAAACATAAAAGCCCAGGTACTTCCTGAAAAAGCACCTTTGGGACACCTCAGCAATTCTTAACTGGAGCTACCAAATCTGAAATGCTGATAAATCCAGATGACAACCAGTAGGGAAGAGAAGGCCTTGTTCCAGCATCTTCATAGTATAGATGGGAGCACTTGGCCTGAGATATAGGAGAAGTCATATACAGGTAATCCTCACTTTGCAACCATTCATTTAGTGACTGTTTGAAGTTACGAAAGCACTAAAAAAGTGACTTATGACCGTTTTTCACACTTGTGACTATTGCAGCATCCCCACGGTCATATGATTAAAATTCGGATGCTTGGTTCATATTTATGACAGTTTTGTAGTGTCCCGGGGTCATGTGATCACCTTTTGCGACCTTCTGACAAGCAAAGTCAGTAAGGAAGCACAATTCACTTTACAACCATGTGACTAACTTAACAACTGCAGTAATTCATTTAACAATTGTGGCAAGAAAGGTCATGAAGTGGAGCAACTATCTCGCTTAGCAACCGAAATTTTGGGCTCAATTGCGGTTATAAGTTGAGGATTAACTATAGATAGTCCTCCATTTATTCCATTTATGTATCTTTTATGTACACTGAGAGTCTATGCACCAAAGACAAATTCCTTGTGTGTCCAATCACACTTGGCCAATAAAGAATTGTTTCTTTCTTTCTTTCTTTCTTTCTTTCTTTCTTTCTTTCTTTCTTTCTTTCTTTCTTTCTCTTTCTTTCTTCTTTCTATCTACCTACCTACCTATCTACAGTATCTATATCTATCTATCTATCTATGAGCACAATTGAGACCAGAATCCACATACCAGCGGGAAGTTGAACAACTAGCCTCATAGTGCGACCGGAACAATCTGGAACTGAACACACTCAAAACTGTAGAAATGGTGGTAGACTTTAGGAGAAACCCTCCCATACTACCACCTCTTACAATACTAGACAACAAGTATCAACAGTAGAGACTTCAGAGGATTTTTTTTTAAATTTTATTTATATGCCGCCCTTCTCCGGAGACTCAGGGCGGCTTACAATGCGTTAAGCAATAGCCTTCATACTTTTGTATATTTATACAAAGTCAGCTTATTGCCCCCACAAACTGGGTCCTCATTTTACCTACCTTAGAAAGGATGGAAGGCTGAGTCAACCTTGAGCCTGGTGAGATTTGAACTTACAGTAATTGCAGACAGCTTGATGTTAATAACAGTGCTTTAGTCTGCTGAGCCACCAGGCTCCTCCTAATTAGAACTGCAGAAAAAACCATGGCTACCAACCTGCCTTCCATTGAGGACCTGTATACTGCATGAGTCAAAAAGAGGGCTGTGAAAATATCGACAGACCCCTCGCATCCTGGACATAAACTGTTTCAACTCCTATCAAAACGACGCTATAGAGCACTGCACACCAGAACAACTAGACACAAGAACAGTTTTTTCCCAAATGCCATCACTGCTAAACAAATAATTCCCTCAACACTTTCAAACTATTCACTAAGGCTGCATTACTATTACTATTATTCTTCTCATCATTCCTATCACCCATCTCCTTCCACTTATGACAGTATGACTGTAACTTTTGTTGCTGGTATCCTTACAATTTATATTGATATTGTTTCCTAGTATGATTTCATTGCTTATGTGTAAACAATGACTATCATTAAGTGTTGTACGTTATGATTCTTGACAAATGTATCTTGTCTTTTTATGTACACTGAGAGCATATGCAACAAAAACAAATTCCTTGTTTGTCCAATCACTCTTGGCCAATAAAGAATTCTATTAGGCATTTGTTTCATATCTGGCTGGTCTCTAAAAAAAGCCCTTTTACACATCCTTCCTTGAATCGTAGTGAGTTCTCAACTTTCAGACCAGTGAGAAAATGAATTTAAAAATTCAGTATAAGCTGCCCACAAGACATGCAAAGACTAGCTAAGCAATAACTCTGAAAAATGGTAAAACTATGGACATTGCAACATTCTACACTGCAGCAGCCACATCACGGCAACTCAGATCCTGACTGCAGTTTTCACAGGGCTGTAAAGGTAACAGTTTGCAAAACAGCAGAGGGGAAGAACTAGTAAGGAATATTCTGTAGAGGCTGCCTCCATGTGGAGAAAAAATATTTTTTATAACAGAGGAACTAAGATGCTAAAGCTACAAACATCTCCAAGTAAGATGTACTACCGTATACAGAAAAGGTTATCTTCAAAAATGGTGTATTCAAGTTACAGTCTGAGATGCTTTTACCTGCAAAGAGAGAAAGACATTCAGTTTCCTCAAAGGTCAACTTTGGAAGTTACTGGAACTGCAACTCATTTTTGTGCATACAATAATCTTGCTGCAGTTACCACAGGCTGTACAATAATAGTTCTCCATATTTCTTTTTTAGTTCAGCATCCTTAAAGTAACCAATAAAAAATAATTCTGGTTTCATTGTAATATTAGTCTACAATATCTTTTGCATCATGTATGAATTTGCACCCAAAATTCATACAGCAGATCTTAACGTTGCTGAGGTTCAGAAACACTGGCTTAGTGTATTGTGTTGTAGGAAGAAATATCCTTCTGGGTTCAGCTCCAAGTGGGGAAAAAGACACTGGAAATATGGAGACTGCTTGGAAAGTTGGTTTAATGGTGGACAGGATCACATGGCTTGAGTTCCTGAACCAAAAAGGGCCGAGATACAGCGAGTCCCCAGGTTTTATGCTTTCTCTGGCTTTGAACTTCCCAGGGCCCAGAAAGAGTATCCTGATTGGTTGTCAGATTCCCAGAGGGTGGGGGTCTTAGCTAGCCTTGCTGGCTGATGTAATTTTCCCAGGTGCCATGTGGTGAGTTTCTGTTCTAGATGGGTCCCATTGTGTTAGTTTCTGTTTCTGCCTCTGGCCCATTAACAAAGCGGGGGGGGGGAGCAGGAAGGTGGGAGTTGCTTTGTCTTTAAAACATGTTTCTCCATTTCTCAACCAGGGAAACATAATATTCTGCCTTTTTAATATTTCCTAAAATATTTCATTCTTCCAGGAAAGGGGTGGGTGCTAACTTCCTACAGTGTGAACAGGGATTTGTTCAGAAAACAGTGATCCAATGTGCTATGTTGAAAAACTCAGTTTTTGCAGCAGTCTTTTTTTTACTACCGGTTCTGTGGGCGTGGCTTGGTGGGCATGGCAGGGGAAGGATACTGCAAAATCTCCATTCCCACCCCACTCCAGGGGAAGGATACTGCAAAATACCCATTTCCTCCCCACTCCAGAGGAAGGATACTGCAAAATCTCCATTCCCATGCCACTCCAGGGGGAAGGATATTGCAAAATCTCAATTCCCACCCCACTCTGAGGCAGCCAGAGGTGGTATTTGCTGGTTCTCCAGCAGAACTGAAAATTTCTGCTACCGGTTCTCCAGAACCTGTCAGAATTTGCTGAATAGCACTCCTGCTTTGCAGGGTTATTAACTCCCTCTCCAGCCTGGTTTAATCTGAGAATGATGTCCCATATATGTTTGCCCAGTCAGGTATGCTTAACTGGGCATTTGCTTGGATCATGTGGGCAAAGGTTCCTATATCTTAAGGGTGTAATTTTCCATACTTCTAAAACAACCGCTTCTCTGAAACATGTCTTTGTATCCTCTTCCTTGGCAATATTCCATTTTTAAAAAATCAGTCTGAAACTTTGTAATTCTGTGCATGGATATTAGGAAATAATTTCCCAGGAAGCACCTTATACAACTTAAGTCTTAAGGGACTCCCCCACCGCCACAAAAACGGTGGTAGTATGCTGCTGCTGCTGACTTCCTCCCTTCCTAACCTCCAACTGTAATACTTCTTTCTCTAGTTCAGTATTTCTTAAAAGTGTGATACAAGGACATCTGGGGATCTCCCAAAATCTTAGGAGGTCCACAAAATCAAAATTATCTGCCAGATATTGAAGACATTGGAATTATTATTTTTATTTCTTAAAATAATAGTTATTATTTTACTAACTTTTAAAAATTATGTGAATAATTACAATACTGGTTCTTCCTTTTTACATGGTTCAATCAATATTCTATGCAGGCATCAGTTTCCATTTTTAATACAGTAAACATCGATAAAAATAACCCATACAAACTGAAGTTCTTCTGGGGCCCTCCAAAATTTTTAAAAGTACGGAGAGGTTCAAGAAAAGTTCAAGAAAACACGTCTCTAATTTGCCTTAGGAGAGACCACGGCCCCTTTGGAAAACTTCAAGTCCCAGCATCCCCTCCACCCGTAATAACCCCGCCCCCTTGTGTTCCCTGTGTCGTCTCCTTCTTTTCTCTTACTCTAACTGCGCAGATTGGCCCGGGCCGCCCGCCAATTGGCGAGTTCCCTTTGGCCAGAATAACTGTCACTCCTTTCCCTCGGGCCAATCAGACGCGGAAGAGTTAAAAGAGGGTGGGCTTTGCTTATTCCCGGAGCGTGTCTGCGCCGCTCGCGCGGCGGAAGGGCCGGCGTTGAGATCGAGAGGGCTGGTGGCGCAGTTAGCGTCGCGCAGGCGCACTGCCGGGCGCAACGGTGGAGAAAGGGGAGGGAGGGAGAAGAGGAGGAGGAGGGGGAGGCGGCGTTGGGGGCTTTGCTGAGCCCGAGACAGCTGGAAAGGATAAACAGAGGCGGGGGCCGCCGAGGTCTCAGGTCCCAGCCGGGCCGGGCGGTGCTACGCAGCCTGGCGAGCGGCTCAAGCGGCCTTCCAGCCACTCTCTCACCTCCTGGAGGGGCCCCTGCCCTGGCACAGGGGTCAGGCCGCCCCCCTGCATGGAAGTTCGGGGGCTTCGTCCACTGGCTGCTGCGGCTGCTGAGCCTGCCTTGAGGAGGCCTGACAGGTAACCCGGACGGAGCTCTCCTTCCCCGTCCTCCGCCTGCCTTAAAAGAACCAACCTCCCTCCCTCCCTCCCTCCCCACCCCGGGAGCCTTTCCGCTGCCTGGACTACAACGCCCATCAGCCACGGCCGAGGGGAGTGAGGGGGGGGCGTGAGGGTCTTTCTGCAGGTGGGGAGCGATGGGGGTGATTGGAGGAGGAAGAGGAGGAGGAGCCTTCCTCCAGAGGCGTCCATTCTTATCACCCCCCCACCCCACCCTCATTTTTTTGACCCACCTACCATCTCTTGAAACCTCCCCTCACCCCCAAAAAAACCACCCACCTTGCCCCTTTTCCTTTTGGCGTGGCTCTTCCCAGCAGATTCCAAAGGGATCTGCTGGGAAGAGCTGAGAATCTGTCCTCTCCCCCCCCCAAAAAAACTTGCCACTGCTCCCCCCCCAACCACCCACCCCACTCCAAGAGAGGAAGGATCTGGTGTGTAGGGGGGATGGGACACACACCTGTTTTCCTCTTGCCAACGCTTTTGGGAAATGTCTTCACGTCCATTCAGTGGGGGGTGTGGGGGTGCATCCAGTTTGCCCCCTTTTGCCAGCCTGGCACTAACTCTCCAGAGTTTTGGGGGTGGGTGTCACCTGCCCAGAGCGGGCAGGATGGATCTTCCAAAGAGATGCTGTCAGGATTCCCAGGTACTACTTGAGTGTGCGAAGCATCTTTGGAGAGCCCAAAACTTCCTCTCGCTCGGCTCAAACTTCTGGCAGAGACTTTTTGTGCTTTAAATTGCACTCTGCGGGGTGGAAAGTGAGAAGTAGAGCCAGATCATTGAAGCCACCACAGCTCTCCCTCCGGCCACTTCCCTGGCTTTCTCAAGACCTCTTACTTTTCCTCTCTTGAAAGAGCTTTTTTTTTTTCCCTAGCCTGCCTTGCTGGTTGTTGGTGTAGGTTTCTGGTGGGGGGCTCAGTCTTTGGGCTGAAGGAGTTGCGGTGGAATGAAAATAACACCAAACTGAACTATCCCCTGAGTATGTGCACAAGCTGTTGCTCACTTCCTATTGCTCCTACTGTACCAGGATTCCTTTGCAGGGATCTGTCAAGTTTCTTTCCATGCTGCAGTTTTTCTTTCCTGCTTTACACTAATGAGAGTCAAAATTCTTCGTAAAAGCAGTGGCTGGGTTGAGATTGCCTGGAATTAATTATGGTTTGTTAAATTGGGGGTATGACTGTACTAATTGTGGCTTGGTGTTGCATATGAATCAGGTCCTTGGAAAACCCTGATTTATTGTTTGAATGATTAATGTCCTTAGCCTATTACTTTTCAGCGGCTTATAATTTCTATCAATGATCATACTAAGGATCTTGCTATGGGAAGGTGATTTTTTGTTTGCATGACATACTTGAACATAAATTAATAACGATTGGGTTAAGACGTTAATTTTTATGTGGTTCAGGGTGTTGTATGAATACAGTTTGTGTCATCCTGGGTCTTGCTAGTATATTAGTAGCTTTGGAAGGATTTTATCCTTTATTTTTTCCAAGTGTTGGCTTCATAAATTCTTAAATAGCTTCACTTGTTGCAGTTTCTCAGTAACATAAACTCTTGGCTATTTTGCTGAGATAAACGTTCATTTTGTTGCACTGTTCTAATTTAGATTTTGTGTTGTTTTCATTTTTAAATTAATATGTCCATCATTTTGGGTTTATTTTACCTTGGTGCCATGTTAAGCATGTGCACATATCCAAAACAGACTATTGTATTTTTTAATTCACATACATTCATGTATCCTGTATTTTAAAATAGAGTTGCTATTAATTTTTACTAGAAACCTAAATATTCACTTTCAAATCTAGTCCAGCCTGAATTTACAATGATTATCACATGCTATGTTGTTGTTTTATTTGGGGTATAGAATCTTGTGTGCCCTAAGTAATTACTTTAATCATTTCTGGTCTTCATGTGTGATCTCATCCAATTGTGACTTGCTCAACAAACTATGACTCAACCTATGTGTGTCCATTTTATACGAATCCTTAAACTTTCTTTTGGATCTCCTTAAGGTACAAATTTTTATATATATATATATATATAATTATGTGTTGGGTGTTACATTTCTGTAGTTTTGTTTTCTGTTCTTGATACTTTTTGTTAAGATTTAACAAACATTTCCCTGTTTAAAAATGAATTTCTTTCAAAAGAAAGACATTTCTTTCTCCCTAATAAAACCCAAGCCCCATGTCTAATCCAACAATGTTGTTTATCAGAAATATAAGAGCTGGTATCTGGTATCTATAATGGGAAAATTGAATCAAAAATCTTTTAGTATATCATGAGGTCTAGCATGGGTTTCCATGCTAGGCTTTCTGAACTCAGATCACAATATTGACTTAAGAACCAAGTTTTCATTTGTTGCTCTAAAAAGAAGATGCCCCAACCTAATTTTTCTCTATTGCAATAGCAACTTTTAGCATTCATAGCTTTACATTGTACTTAAAATATGAAGGGAAATTTTAAAAATGATTCCTCCAAGTAATTGTCATTAGAAAATCATTTTTCAGAATGATTGTAATTAGTACTTTTGGTCATTGCTCCTTCTGGGAGCAAATTATATTAATGATTGCATCTTTCTTCATCCTCCAAAACTGTACAATTCAGTTCCCAGAATTCTGAGCAACAGGCACGCTGGTTCTGAATTCTGGGAAATTAAGTTACATATCTGAAAGATGACTTTGTCAGGCAAGGCTATGGAAACAGATAACTAAATTTAGTAGTCCTACAGAATTGTTTTCTAATCCATCACAGAATGCTTCTGTACTTGAGCTTACATATGTAAAATATTAAATTGCTTATATACTATTAGAGAATTTACTTGCAGTTACTTTCCAAACTTTTGTGGCATCCTCTAAAGCCAGATGTACTATCTTTTTTGGATTGAGAGCTGCATAGGCTCTTTGAATGATATGTAAGAAAGAGGGTGCATTATTAAAAAAAAAAAGGAGCAGAACCAGAATCAAAATTAAATTTCATTGAAGGTATATTTATGACCTTATGTTGGGGGCAATATGCTATTTAGTATACTGTCGATTGTTGCAAGCCACCCAGAGTCCTCGGAGAGTGGGCGGCATAGAAATATGATTAATACAATAACAATAACAATAACAATAACAATAATAGTAATAATAATAATAATAATAATAATAATAATAATAATAATAATAATAGTAATACATAAGCCTTACCCTCTTCATCTTCCAAAATGTAGCTCTCTTTCCAATTTCATCACTGTGGTTGTTAGAGGAAGCTTCCATCTTTAATATTTCAGAAGTCTTCAAAAATTTCATCAACTCTGCTGTGCTATGGCAGGACCGAGTGATGTTCTTTGATATCAGTAATGTTTTGGGGAGCAGTTTTGCAATTGGCTAAAACCTAACCTGAGTTTTCCCGGCTGTCTGTGTTAACCATTGATGTTGAAGATGTCAGGATTTCATACATTCCGTTGACATTCTGCATTGTTGTGCTATTTTTAAACATTGAAAAAAAGTTTTATTTTTGAATGCAATTTATGTGAAAAAAACAATTGTGACTACAAAGTTGTTTATACTCTACACATAACAGTCATATGCTTTTTATTATATATGGTTTCTGTGATTACTATATAAGCTGTTTATCTTGAAAATTGGTGGATGTCTTAAAATGAGATCTTGTGTCATCAGTTAAAAGTTCTGAAAGCTATTGGGGAGGGGGGAGAGTATTTTAATTTTCACTGAGAACTATATCTAAGAATTTAGACCAAGGCTCCATCTATGGAGAGGGATATATGTACATAACTTTAGAAATCAAATGACTGAGGGAAATATTTGAAAACCTCATATTAAAATTTCCTTTTGTCGGCTAGAACAGCTCCATAATTTTATGTATAAATAATTTCAAAGCTTTCTCCTCTCTCTCTCTCCTCCCCCTCTTCTCTCCAAATTACAGGTAATTTCAATGCCTTCTCAATGGACATGAACTCTGCTGGAATGCTTGGATTCACAGCAAGACCATCACTAACTTGCTTTCGTAGGCCCTATTGTGAAAAGATGGCAAAAGCAAATATTATTGGAGACCTCATTAGCAGGCAGCTCAAGGTACTTCTTGTCTTAAAGAGTCATTAACAGCATTTTGCTAGAGGGTGAGCTGAAGTGGAGGAGGAAAGCTTTTAGAGAGGCCATCTTGGGGACTGATTTTCTTGTTGCTCCTGTCTGTTTGTTTGTCTTCTTCGTCAGAGACTGCTTTGTGTCTTTGCCAGAAGTCATGCCCAAGATGAATGGAACAAGCTGCTGAGCCTTATTCATCCTTTTCTCATTCTTTGCATCAAAGAGTAGTGAGCAGTTAGCAAGAGACCCTTTCTATTGATCCTAGGTGCTCTCTTCTGCTGTCATACATTCAGATTATTCCCCCTGGTTTTGTCATGAGACTTGACAAACTGTGGTTACTGCTTATTGTGCGATCTAATTATCAAGCTCGTTAAACACCGACTGGGTGACATTTCTATGAGATGTTTCCTAAGCTGGTTAGAAAACCATGTTATTCATCTATCTTCATCAGAATGCAAAAGACAAAAGTGTTGTTTCCCATTGTTTAGTCTTAAGGTCCATAATATCTTATGAAGAGATAGAGATAGATGGATAAAATAGATGAAAATGAAGAGAGAGAAGGAATTTGCAGATGTCACAGAATTGGAGGGATAACTAATGCTCTGGAAGATGGAAATGAAATGTCTATGGAGATTCTCAGTCATCCAGGTCATGGTTGTCCCTAAAGTGCTTTTTCAAAAGGCAACTGGAGTTTTTCTTTGTTTTTGCTTGAAGACATTTCATTTCTCATCTAAGAAACTTCTTCAGTTTTGAATGAATGGTGGAGAATGGAAGGATTTATATCCCTTACAGTCATCTGGTCATTAGCACTCTTTCTGAGAGTTGTTGAAGCCATTTGGAGGTTTATCTGTGCCCTCAGGGTCACCTGAATAAATGAGGAGAGCAGATTCTGCAATTTCACTTGTTAACAAGCTGAAAATCAATATATGTCAGTATGTAAGAACAGATATTTTTAGATGCAATTTAAAGCTACATTCATAGAAGTCTGGTTCCCAAATCAAAGTCAGCCAGAGTTTTTTGGAGTGGGTGACCATAATAATTGTTGTGGGGAAATCTATCTCCACAATATGTTCTGTATTGATTAATCTCATTTTGAATATTTCATCCGGTTCTGACTATTGCATTTCAGGAAAAATCTAGTCAGTAGACTAGATCAGGGAAGGGCAAGTTAGATGGACCTGGATATTATTATTATTATTTTTGCATGAGTATTTGGAGATTAGAGGTATCTCTTCTCCATCATGGTGTCTTACGCTGAAGAATTATGGTTGGATGTAGAATGTTCTTAAGGCCTCTCCATTAATTGTATTTATCTGTGTTTATAGGAAAAGGGTGCCCTCAGTTTTGAGCGACACTATCATGTTACCGACCCATTCATTCAGCGTCTGGGCTTGGAAGCGGAGCTGCAAGTAAGTGGAGGACGGTCATGGTAGCAAAAATAATATATTTTTTTAATTTGTAAAGCATTTCCTAGTTTATTGAAGGTTAATTATTCCTAAACTGTTTACCTTATTTCCCCTAAATTTTTTCTAAATTTAACAGATTGAAAAGATAATACCGTGTTTCCCCGAAAATAAAACCCTGTTGTATATTTTTTTTGAACCCTGAAATAAGTACTCGGCCTTATTGCCATGAGCTCAAAAGAGTGATTGGGCTTATTATCAGGGGATGTCTTATTTTGGGGGAAACAGGGTAGGAAAACCTTAATTTGCTAATCCCCAGCCCCTCAAATTTTTTTTCTTAATGAGCAGCTTGTCAAACTTCGGTGTGACTGTTGTTAGACCTGAGATTGTTATGGGGAAATAAATCTGTTATTGCCATGGCTAGGCCCGTTCTTTATTAGGGCCAAGTTTAGATGTGCCAGCAATATTGCCCAGTTTGGTCTGTGGTGAATCCCTCCATCAGAAAGAATAGAAGCAATTTCAAAATGGAATTGGAACAAGCAGGATCAGGATGCAATATTTTCACTTTTTGATATTGATAAGTCAATATGAAAAATATCCTCCCCAAAGGGAAAAAATAACAAGGAAAAATCATTTCAATGGGACAGGAGTAATCATTGTCTAATTTATTTTAAATTATCACTCTCTTTTGTTGAGATATTGTGATAACCTGGTGGCAATTGGGTGTCCTTATAATCTGTGGGAGTGAGAATGATGGGAGCTTCAATCTGTATTTAGACATTATTAGGTTGGAAAGACTTCCATAGCTAACCAGATTCTATTATAAGTAACCCTGTGTAGAGGTAAAATTGCAAGTAGTTCTTGACTTACAACCACAATTGAGCCCAAAATTTCTGTTGCTAACAAGACAGTTGCTAAGTGAGTTTTGCTCCATTTTGTGACCTTTCCTGCCACAGTTAAGTGAATTACTGCAGTTAAGTTAGTAATGCCGATCATTGGCTTCCCTATTGACTTTGCTTTGTCAGAAGGTCACAAAAGATGAAGCGCATGATCCTGGAACATTGCAACTGTCATAAGTACATGCCAGTTGCCAAGCATCTGAATTTTGATCACGTGACCATGGGGATGCCGCAGCGGTCGTAAATGTGAAAAGCGGTCATAAATCAATTTTGCAGCGCTGTTGTAACGTTGAATGGTAACTAAACAAATGGTTGTAAGTCAAGGATTATCCCTATGTCTTTTTTTTCTAAATTAATTGTGCTTTAGTGTTATATTTAAGATAAGTTGAGAGTTAAAGTTTCATGCTGTTTGGAGTACTATTACAAAAATGGTCTTGTAAATATTAAGGATGTAGTTTGTTGATCATACAATTAAAAAATGGCATTGAATAATCCATGAGGTGCTCTAGAATTCATCACTTTTCTCTTTACCTCTCAGTGTAAGGCGAGATCATTTCCCATTGCCCATACATTAACTCTTTTCTGATTCTTAGATCTGCCAAACCTTGTTGGGATCTCTTTATTATTTCCCCCCCTCTCCACCTTCCCCTCGGCCCCCCCCAACTTCCCAGAGCAAAATACAGGGTATTGCATTTAACAAACATAATCTAACATAAGCAAACTGCCCATACATTAACTCATATTACTTCAATAATATGATGTAGGACGATTTGTTCAAAAGTTACACACATAGGCTTGGATACATTAGGATTAGCAATGGAAGCAAAATGGAACACCATTCAATGATCAGAAGAAGCTCTGGAAAGCTTAAAACAGCAAGAAAAATGGGACATGTCAGAATATGGTAGATTTTCCTTTATCCCTTTGAGTGAGTAATCTGAAATTGGTAAAGCTCTGACATTGGTGGTTTTTTTTTTAGGGTCATGCTGGCTGTGTCAACTGCCTTGAATGGAATGAAAAAGGAAAGTAAGTATGTCTCTGAAAATAGATTTGTCTCCAAAGCTAGGAGATGGGCCTGGGGATTGCTGGATCACCTTCGCTTGTTTCTGTTGCTCCCCTCTGGGAGGAGCTTTAGAAGTATTTCTAGGAGGACGACCAGATTCTGTATAACCGCTTTGTTCCCTAGGCCATCCGTCTGGTAACCTCGCAAGATTCATTTCTCTCACCATGTACATGTATTATATCCGAATTAGACTGTGTTGTTTCTCTGTGTCATGTAATATATGTGGGTATATGCACAATTTGGTATTTATTTATTTATTTATTTTGTCATGTTTATGTCGTGCATATTGGAGGTGGTGGCCCTTTGTATGCAACGAAATTTCAATTTCATGTATGTCGATTAGTGTACATTCAAAGTGACAGCAAGGGTAGTCTAAGTTCGGTGTCTGCAATCCGCAGCTCCGGAGCCACATGCATCTCTTTCGTCCCCCTGCTGTGGCTCCCTATCGACTGAACCCACCACTGGCTGGCCCCGCCCCTCGCTCTCCCCTTCCAGTCACTCCTCTCCTGTCCTGAGAGAGAGACAGAGAGAGAGAGATACCTGTTTCCCACAGAAAACACCGGGAGCCACAAAACCTGGGTGGGCGTGGCTGGGGGTGGAAGTGAGTAACATTGAGTTGGCCACACCCACCCAGGTTTTGTGGCTCCCGGTGTTTCCTTCTCTGTGGGAAACGGGTCCAAATGGCTCTTTGAGTGTTTAAGGTTGCAGACCCCTGGTCTAAGTCTGACCTTGAAAGACCATTCATAAATTTGACTTCATCCAGTGTTGTGTTCGAGCATTTAGGAAGAGTGACACACATTAAGGAGGAACCTATTCTAAGTATCTCATACAATAACCACATGTGTCAAGGATTACATAATATAATTCAGAGAGACTCTGCTGAAGGTTGAAGAAAGGTTTTGCATGAAGAATGCAGAGCCTATGGGTTCTGGCAAGAGTAGGAAGGCTCCTATGCTTAATTCAGGCTTTAATCTGAATATGAAAGTGTCCTTAAGAAAAAGAGTAGGCACTTTCAATGAATGCCTATAGAAAACCTCTGTAGCCCAGGGGGAGAATTTCTAATTGTACTTCCTGGAGGTGTATAGCATTCATTTACCCGCCTTGTTAATAGATTCCTGGTGAACTAAGTTACAAATATAATTGACAGCTGCTCCTTGAGAGTTCTTTGCTGTGCTCTGAAACCCCCATTGGCTCTAGAACAGTGGTCCCCAACATTTGCGGCTTGTGGCCCAGCTGGGGGAGAGGGAGAGGGAACCGGGGCATGTGAGCAGTATGCGTGTATGTGTGCGCCTGCCCACCCCTCGTGCAAGTTGAGCTGCATGCGCACATGCATGTCGGCCCTCTTCTTGTGTGGCCCAATTCCTAATAGGCCATGGCCCTGGGGCCTGAAGACCCTTGCTCTAAATCCGTGATGGTGAACCTATGGCATACGTGCCACAGCTGGCACACAGAGCCCTCTCTGGGCAGGCGAGCTCTCACCCAGCTCAGCTCCACCGCGCAGGCATGCAAATGCGCGTCTCCCACCGGCCAGCTGATTTTCAAGATGCACGGGGGACGCATGCAGGAGATGCGCGTGCATGCACGGGGTCATACATATATGCACAGGTGGCAGGGGGTGCAGTGTGCCCCCCATGGTCCGTTTTTGGGCCCAGGAGTCTGCAGGTAGGCCTGCTAGGCCAAAAATGGGCGGGGGGGTTGCATGCATATGCGTAGGGGGAGTGGGGAGTCAAGCATGCATGCATGGGGGGGGTGTATGCATTGCATTATGGGTGCCGGCACGCGTGCATGCGCCTACTTTCGGCACACAACGAGAAAAAGGATAGCCATCGCTGATCTAGATCTTTGTTTCCCAACCTTAGCCCTTTTAAAGTATGTATCCCAATGCTGACTGGGGCGGGGTTGGGCAATTGTGGCTCTTTTACAACCTGTGGACTTCAACTCCCAGAATTCCTGAGACAGCTGTCTCAGGAATTCTGGGAGTTGAAGTCCACAGGTTGTAAAAGAGCCACAATTGCCCACCCCTGGGCTGGGGTATCATGGCTCAGGTTGGGAAACATTGTTCTATGAGAGATGAGCATCTCTATGAGATTGTCTTTAAGAGATTGACACGACTTGACTTTACGAGATCTCGGCGAATGAATGCAGAAAGACATGAGTTTGTAGCAATGGTTTGCTAATATGCTTTTGTGCCTCTTGACTTTTCAGCTTGCTGGCCTCTGGCTCTGATGACCAGCACACCATTGTGTGGGATCCTCTGCACCATAAGAAACTCCTTTCCATGCACACGGGGCATACAGCAAACATATTTTCTGTCAAGGTAGGTGGATTTGGAAGAAGGTGGTAAAATACTAAGAACAGGTAGTCCTCGACTTACAACAGTTCATTTAGTTGACTGTTTGAAGTTGTTGTTAGTTGCGAAGTCGTGTCCGACCCATCACGACCCCATGGACAACTTTCCTCCAGGCCTTCCTGTCTTCTACCATCCCCCGGAGACCATTTGAAGTTACAACAGCACTAAAAAAAGTGACTTATGGCCATTTTTCACAGTTAACAACCGTTGCAGCATCCCCATAGCCACATGATCAAAATTCGGATGTTTGGCAACTGACTCGTGATGGTTGCAGCGTCCCAGAGTCATGTGATCGCCTTTTGTGACTTCCTGATCGGCAAAGTCAATGGGGGAGTTAGATTCACTTAACAAGCGTGAGGCTAACTTAACAACTGCCGTGACTCGTTTAACAACTGTTGCAAAAAAAGATCGTAAAATGGGGCAAAGTTCAATTAACAACTGTCTCACTTAAAAACAGAAAGGTTGGACTCAGTTGGGGGTCTTAAACTGAGGACCACCTGTAGCCGTGTCAAGATTAAATGTTGAGGTTAGGATGAGTAGGTACTTGACTACAAAGCCAATAATCTGTGGCTGTTAAGTGACATGTTCCTTCAAAGATGTCTTTTTATCCATCAGTGGGGAAGCCCTTCTTGGCATGAAAGATATCATGCTTATTTTCCACAGTTCTTGCCGCATGCGGAGGACCGGATACTTATTACTGGGGCCGCTGATTCCAAAGTGCACGTCCACGACTTGACTGTCAAAGAAACGACCCACATGTTTGGGGATCACAAAAACAGAGTCAAGCGAATTGCCACAGCTCCGATGTGGCCCAACACCTTCTGGAGTGCGGCAGAAGATGGACTAATCAGGTACAATTTGTCTGATGTTGTGGGGGAACACAGGGTCAACCCTGAGGTTGGCTGGCTGAAGCCATCTTGGAGGCTTCAGGGTTGCCACACAATGGTGGGGGGGGGGAAATAGATGGGGTTTTGTAGCCAAAACAATAAAGTTTTCCTGTGAGAACTAAGGACATTCTCACAGGTGGCTGGCCAGAGGAGGAGCAAAGTAACCCAGCAACCAACCGGCCAGCACCTGGATTGGATAGCGTGACCAGTGATTTGGGGGGAAAGGGAAAACTTTTAACTAGATGAAAGCCGCAGGAAACCTCAGAGTCGGCTTTCACCAGTTTGTTCCAATATGATGTATCCAATAAACTGTTCTTTGAGGAGCTCGAGTGCCTTGGAGTTTGTTTTCTATGGGTGCATTATTTGGAACCAGGAGTGGGTTCTACTTACCTTTACTACCGGTTCGCAACGGGACTACGCTTCTGCGCATGCGCAATCGCCGATGACGACATCCTGGGCGGTGGGCGGGGCCTCCCGCCGGTTTTACTATCGGTTCTTGCGAACCGGTCTGAACCGGGGGCAACCTACCACTGCTTGGAACGCTGACACACAGCTTAGGGTTCCGCTCTGTTTAATTACTGTGTGTTGCAGAAATGTTATGGCCAAACCAATAAACTGTACCGCTAGGGCTTAAAACCAGGACTCTGCAATAAAGTGACCCACTAAAACTGCCCCCGCCTCCAACCTTTTGGCACCAGGGATCGGTTCCATGGAGAAAGTTTTTTCCGCAGACCGGCGGGGGATGTGATTTTGTGTGCTGCCTGCATCCCAGGGATGGGGCTTTGCTTTTTGCGTGGCACAGTTGATGGCATGATATGAACCGATGCCGGTCCACAGACTGGGGGCTGGGGACCCTTGCTCTAAAACGGAGGTCTCCAACCGTGGCAATTTTAAGCCTGGAAGACTTCAACTCCCAGAATTCCCCAGCCAGCTTTGCTCTAAAACGGAGGTCTCCAACCTTGACAACTTTAAGCCTGGAGGACTTCAACTCCCAGAATTCAACTCCCAGCCAAGCTGGCTGGGGAATTCTAGGAGTTGAAATCCTCCAGGCTTAAAGTTGCCAAGGTTGGAGACCATTGCTCTAAAACATGATTTAATTGAATTTAGAATTGAGCAATACACTAATACATTGCTTACTTTTAATAAATAATTTTATAATTACTTAGCTCACTTTTTCATGGTGGGGTCAAAATTGTGGTGCTTCTGCTTGCTTCTGATTTCTGAAGGCCTGCTAATGTTTTTATTCTTCCTTATTTATTTATTTTTTTAGACAGTATGACTTGCGAGAGAATAGCAAACACTCAGAAGTTCTGATAGACCTGACTGAATACTGTGGGCAGCTTGTGGAGGCAAAGTGCCTCACAGTCAATCCCCAGGACAATAACTATCTCGCTGTGGGAGCCAGTGGACCCTTTGTCCGGATTTACGACATACGCATGATCCACAACCACAGGTAACAGAAGTGAAGACTGATAACTTAGCGGCTCCAACTTAGACACATTAGGGCTTATTTTCTGGTTAGTGTTGTGGCCCGTCAGCAGCCTGTGCAGTTAGTAGCTGATTCCGACAGCGAGGAGGCTGGTGTGCTGCGCCAGCAGCCTGTGCAGCTGGCGCTCAAGTCAGACAATGAGGAGGCTGGAGAGGATGTGGTGCCAGAGACGGGGATTCATCCAGGGCCTTCAGAACCTCCAGAAGCTCCCATAAGTGAAGAGGAAGAAGAGGAGGAGCCTCTTCTCGATGCACGAGTGCGCAGAGCTCTTAAAAGGCAGGAGTGGCTCCTCAGGAGGAGGTCTCTTCGAGAGTAAGGCTTGGGACTAATTGGCCACTCCCCTAGCCTATTTAAGGAAGGATGACGACTGATGCAATTTACAGGAAACAATTTCATTCATATTCCTTCGCGTCTTGATTCCAGAAACGTTTGATTCGGCTCTTGTTTCTCTCTTGTCAGTTTTCCTGCAAATTGCTTCTGGGCATTCTGCCAACCACAGTAAGATTACGGTTATCTGAAATACTGTGCCTCAGAATTGAGTTGTTATTCTTTGGATTCTTGTCAGCTGTTAATGAAGTTAAATTAACAGCCCTTGTTCAGAAAAGACTGATTTAAACTGTACTTGTGTTCGAACAACTACTAAGAAAGCTCATTAGTAATCCTTAATTAGTAAACTAAGGTTTGTATGGACTTTGGGTGTGTTGCGTTCTTTGGGGTCCGTAGCTGGGGCAGAACAGTTAGGTCTTATTTTGGGGGGAATTCAGTACTAAATGGGGCTACCCTTGAAAAGTGTTCGGAGAGTACAGTTGGTCCAGAACGCAGCCACGCGAGCTGTCGTGGGTGCACCTAGGTACACCCACATTACACCAATTCTCTGTGAGCTGCACTGGCTCCCTATTGGTCTCCAGTCACAATTCAAGGTGTTGGTTATTACTTTTAAAGTCCTACATGGCTCAGGGCCAGGTTATCTTCGACACCGCCTTCTGCCACATAGCTCCCAGCGACCGGTAAGATCCCACAGAGTTGGTCTCCAGGTCCCATCAGCTAAACAATGTCGGCTGGCAGGCCCGCGGGGGAGGGCCTTCCCTGTGGCTGCCCCAGTTCACTGGAACCAGTTACCTCCTGAGGTCCGGACCATCCCCACCCTATTGGCCTTCCGAAAAGCGGTGAAGACCTGGCTTTTCTGGCAGGCCTGGGGCCATTGATCTCACTCTTGTGATCTGGCGAGATCTGGCCATGAATGGTGTGAATGAGTTTTTAATGTTTTTAATGTTTTGTAATTTTTCAATTTCTTTTTATAATGATTTTTTAAATGTATTGTGAGCCGCCCTGAGTCTTCGGAGAGGGGCAGCATATAAATATAATTAATTAAATTAAATTAATTAAATTAAATGCATCCATCTGGCTGACAATCTTAACTAGGGCTTATTTTGGGGGTAGGCAGGGCTGAAATTCAGCAGGTTCTAATAGGTTCTGGAGAACCGGTAGTGGAAATTTTGAGTAGTTCGGAGAACCGGCAAATGCCACCTTTAGCTGACCCCAGAGTGGGGTGGGAATGGAGATTTTGCAGTATCCTTCCCCTGCCACGTCCACCAAGCCACGCCCACAGAACCAGTAGGGAAAAATTTTGAATTTCAACCCTGGGGGGTAGGGTTTATATTACGAGCATCCTGAAAAATGCTAGGACTTATTTTCCAGTTGGGTCTTATTTTCGGGGAAACAGGTTATGAATCTCAGTCTGTTGCAGTAAAATTTACAAAATCTATCAGACATATGTTGACATAACTATATTTCCCCCCTCTTAATATGCCTGGGCTGTCATGATTTTCTTTTTCTCTTCACCAATAGAAGGAGAAATGTCTTGAGAAGAAACTGTATGCACAAAATAAAATTTTCCTCTCTCTTTTGGCTTAGGAAAAGCATGAAACAGAACCCTGCGGCTGGTGTCCATACATTCTGTGATCGACAGAAACCCCTCCCAGATGGCGCTGCTCAATACTACGTAGCAGGTAAGTTTATCGCTGGATGATGCCCCATCCAGGAGACGTTTTAGTGCATTCAGCAAAATTCATGGGGGCCTATTATGTGTGTCAGCCTATTATGATGAGAAATGAGTGAGTCCCAGCCACCTAATATGGCTTCCAAAGCTGACAGAGTGTACATTTGAGTAACTTACGGTTGGGTGGAGTAAAGATGGATCCTTAGCTTTTAATCACTTCTGCTGCAAAGTAGTTAATGATTCTTTTTTTTTCTTTTTTTTGCTGAAAGTAGAATCTGCACAATAAATGGATATAGCTTTTATTTTATTTTAAAAGGCTTTTCTATTTGCAAATACTTAGCTAAGGCAGGATCCATTCTATCAAGTTGTATGTATTAATTGTGCTTGGGTTGTTTTTTCCTTCTGAAGGGCATCTTCCAGTGAAATTACCTGACTACAATAACCGACTGAGAGTTTTGGTAGCTACCTATGTCACTTTCAGCCCAGATGGTACAGAGCTCTTAGTCAACATGGGAGGAGAACAGGTAATCTAACACTGTTCCAATATCTAAGGGGCTTCCATAAAGAAGGAGGGGGTTTCAACCTATTCTCCAAAGCACCTGAAGAAAAAACAGAAAGCAATGGATGGAAACTAATCAAGGAGAGTAGCAACCTAGAACTAAGGAGAAATAACAGTGAGAAGAATTAACCAGTTGAACAGCTTTGCCTTCAGAAATTATGGGTGCTTCATCACTGGAGGCTTTTAAGAAGAGATTGGACAATCATTTCTCTGAAATGGTATAGGGCTGTGATGGCGAACCTATAGCACGCGTACCACAGGAGGCACTCATAGCCATATTAGTGGGCATGCTAGCTCAGCTCTGGCATGCATGTGCACGCCAGCCAGCTGATTTTTGGGCCTTCTGGGCCCACCAGAAGTAGGAAACAGGCTGTTTCCTGCCTCCGGAGGGCCTGGGGTAGGGTGGGGAAGGCCCATTTTTCTTTCTCACCTGGCTCCAGATCCTCTCTATGCATCTGGGGAGGGTGAAAACAGCCTTCCCCACTCTCCGGAGGCCTGAAACAGCCCATTTCCCAACTCCTGGTGGAACAGGAAGTGACTTTTTTGCTTTCCCCAGCCTCCAGAGACTCCTAGAGAGGCTCTGGCAGCTGAGGACAGCAAAAAAGTCCCACCGGGAATTGGGAAATGGGCCATTTCAGGCCTCCGGAGGGCCTCTGAGGGAGTGGGGAAGGCTGTTTTCACCCTCCCCAGATGCATAGAGAGGATCTGGAGCCAGGTGAGAAAGAAAAACAGGCCTACCTGGCCATCATGTGCCGGGAGGGGGGTTGTGCACGCATACGCAGGGCGGGGCGCATAGAATTATGGTTGTGGGCACATACGTGCATGAACCTCCCCCGCCCCCCCCCCCCCTTCCTGGCATGCGATGGCAAAAGGTTAGCCATCACTGGTATAGGGTTTCCTGATTGAGCATAGGGTTGGACTAGAAGATCTCCAAGGTCCCTTCCAACTCTGTTATTCTGTTAATCTTTGGCTGCTTTCAGCATCTCACTGAGCTGATTTCAGCACTCAGGCTGATTCAGTCATTGTGAAATATTATCAGGATATTTAAATGGTCCACCTCAGATGGCCTTCAATCCATTTATAAATTCCCCAGCGCTTCAAAGCTGTTCTAGCCATCCCACACCCATCCCCATTGTACTGAATTTCATATATTGCACCCAGTAATTGCTGCTTTCTCAAATAAATTGTTCTTATTAATGTCTACAAAGAGTTAGCCAGAAAATAAATGATTATGAAATTCTGCCACAGTCTGTATCAGGTTCCCCAGATCAGGATTTGGCTGCAAATCTTTTGCCTCGACTCCATACAGGTAGTCCTTGACTTATGACCACGATTGGGACCAGCATATCTGTTGCTAAGCAAGGCAGTTCAGTGAATAGCACCCGATTTTAAGACTTTTTTTGCCACAGTTGTTAAGCGAATGACTACAGTTGTTAGATGAATCATGCAGTCGTTAAGCAAATCCAGCTTCCTCCACTGGCTTTAGGTAACCATTCTGCTGCTCATGAATATAGTTTCCGAGAGGTGTGGGAAGCTGTTAATACCAAAAATTGGGAGTCTGGTCTGCCCTGATTAGCAGAACAGCTTCCTCAGCCAAAAGATGACTCATTCTTTAGATTTCTAAGAACTGAAATTGATTTTTCTCATGGTTTAGGTGAAGCTAAATCTTCTGCTGTATTCATGCAGTTTTGAATCCTGTTTTACGAGAGACTTTTTCTAAATGCACATTTTCCTTTGCCCTACAAAAATACGAATAGCTTCCGCTAGATCAGGGGTCAGCAACCTGCGGCTCTGGAGCCGCATGTGGCTCTTTCACAGGGGTGAAATCCAGCAGCTTCTGACAGGTTCTGGAGAACCGGTAGCGAAAATTTTGAGTAGTTCGGAGAACTGGCAAATACCATCTCTAGCTGGCCCCAGAGTGGGGTGGGAATGGAGATTTTGCAGTATCCTTCCCCTGGAGTGGAGTGGGAATGGAGATTTTGCAATATCCTTCCCTTGCCACGCCTACCAAGCCACGCCCACAGAACCAGTAAGTAAATTGGATTTCACCCCTGCTCTTTCACCCCTCTGCTGCAGCTCCCTGTCACTCAAAATATGCGTCACAACCGCCAATTTGTGACACCTGCCAGCACCGATTTATTGAGCTTTTCAACCCCCCGGTAGGCCAACTATGGATAAATCCAAGAAAAGAAAAGTTTCAGAAGCAAACAAAATTTAATTCAACTACATATGCTAGTTTTGTGACTGTTCAAGAAATAGTCAGCCACGGGAAGGGTTTTTGTGGCTCCCAGTGTTTTCTTTTCTGTGGGAAACGGGTCCAAATGGCTCTTTGAGTGTTTAAGGTTGCAGACCCCTGCGCTAGACTTACGTGCGTTAGTCAGCACCAAGTTGGTTTTCTTGTGAGCAATTGTGGCTGAAAACTTACTGTTCCTATGTCATTTGTAGATTCATTGCATTTCTTTGATTTTTAGGTTTACTTATTCGACCTGACGTATAAGCAGCGGCCATACACTTTTCTCCTGCCAAAAAAATGCCATACTCCAGGGGGTAAGAATGCTGTACTTTTCCAGGGGAGACATGATAGCAGTGCTCCAATATTTGAGGGGCTGTTACAGAGAGGAGGGGGTCAAGCTATTTTCCAAAGCACCTGAAGGCCAGACAAGGAATAATGGATGGAAACAGATCAAGGAGAGATTCATCCTAGAAATAAGGAGAAATTTTCTGACAGTGAGAGAACAATCAACCTATGGAACAGAAGTTGCCTTCGGAAGTTGTGGGAGCTTCACCACTGGAAGCTTTCAAGAAGAGACTGGACTGCCATCTGTCAGAAATGGTGTAGGGTCTCCTGCTTGGGCGGAGGGTTGGACTGGATGACCTACAAGGTCCCTTCCAACTCTGTTAATCTGTTATTGCATTCAAAGTGAAATTGGTAGGTTGCTGGATTCCAATAACACAGATTTATCTTCGCTGGTCAATTTAGCCATTGCCTAACCCAGTCTTACCCAACCTACAATCTCCTAAAGTATTAGATGTCAGGCTGATTAAGCATTTATTTTTTTTTTGCTTGTAGTGCTGGGTCTTCTCCCAGGTTGCTCATTCCCCCAAAATTGAAAAACTGCACGGTATAGAAGAATGCCTGTCTGCCACTTGCACTTTTACCCTTGCTTCAGACTTATTCCACTCCTTATGATTCCACGGTATCATTTTATTTCTATATTGCTTTGCTTCCCCGAAGTGCCCAGAATGGTTTACGAGAATACAATAAAAAATATCTGAAATAAACCATTCCAATAAAACCAACATTTAAAGCCATAACTACAAAAATTGAAGCTCACTTCATTTTATGACCCTCAGAGGTGCAGAACGGGAAAACATCGGCCAATGGCGTGTCAAATGGCATCCATCTCCACAGCAATGGTTTCCGGCTGTCTGAGGGGCGAGCCCATGTCAGGTAAGGTCTCCTCCTTTTTCTGCCCACAGTATCTAGTGCGGGATCTAGCCTGATGAGGTGGCTCAGTGGCTAAGACACTGAGCTTGTTGATCAGAGAGGTCGGCGGTTCGAATCCCTAGTACAGGTCTCCTGCGTGAGCAGGGGTTTGGACTGGATGACCTCCAAGGTCCCTTCCAACTCTGTTACTGTAACCCCTCCTCCTTGCCTAGATGAAACATTCGTGGCTAGGAATTGTGCTGGTTGCCAGAACGAGGAAGAATTGTTTCATCCAGCAAGAAGCAGTTGCATAACCCTATTATTTTAGAATAGGGGAGGACTGTAAAAGCTGAGTTTTCTTCATGCACATGCATACTCCCCACATTAGAAAGCCACGGTCTGGGATGAAAATACTTGTCTTTTTTTTTTTTTTTTAAAGGCCCTCTAGACAGGGCTGAGCTTCAAAAATTTTAGCAAGGGGTTCTCTGCCTGGTTGCTGGGTGGGCATGGCCATGGTGGGCGTGGCCTAGTCAGCCTCCTGCACCATGCCAGGGTGGTGGGGGCGTTTTTGCCCTCCCCGGGCTCTGGAGGCTTTCCTCAAGAGAGAGGGCAAAAATGGCCTCCCCAGGCACCAGAGGCCCTCTGGAGGCCTTCCCGAGCTTCCAGTAGGCCTATTTTTCACCCTTCCCGAGCCTCCGTTCGTACCCTGCAATTACCTGCATCCAAAACGGGCTGCGTGGGGACTTCTGGGAGGGGTGGGGTGGGTGGGGCCAACCAGGAGTGGGATTTGGGGTTTTTATTTTTTATTTATTTATTTTTATTTTTATATGCCACCCTTCTCCGGAGACTCAGGGCAGCTTACAATACATTAAGCAATAGCCTTCATACTTTTGTATATTTGATACAAAGTCAGCTTATTGCCCCCACAAACCGGGTCCTCATTTTATCCACCTTAGAAAGGATGGAAGGCTGAGTCAACCTTGAGCCTGGTGAGAATTGAACTCGCAGTAATTGCGATTCTCTGAACTGCACAGAATCTTAGGTAAAGGTTCTCCCGAATCCCTGCCAACCCCCAGCAGCCTACCCCTGCCTCTAGAAAAATGTCCCCTAAACACACCACAGCATTATTTTCTACCCAAGCTCTGTTAGGACTTAAGTATGCAAGCTGATTGGTTGATCTGGCTTAGTGAGTTATATCAATCCAGTCAGATACGGTTGATGGAATGAGCCATGGCTAAACCCAACATGGTTTGGATTGATGTTCTCAACCAAGTCTTGGTTTTTGCAGCCCACAGGTAGAGCTACCTCCCTATCTCGAGAAGATTAAGCTGCAGGCCAATGAGGCTTTTGCTTGCCAGCAGTGGACTCAAGCCATCCAGCTCTACAGCAGAGCTGTCCAGAAAGCCCCCAACAATGCCATGCTCTATGGGAACCGAGCAGCTGCTTACATGAAGCGCAAGTGGTAAGTGACACCTCCCTTCCTGGGAGGCCTGGCCACAACCAACTTTTCTAGTCGACTTGCATTGAATTTCAAGAATTATTTCATCCAGATTCTAGATCCCGTGTGTTTTCCATAAGAGGCTCTCAGTACAATTTAAGAGGTCTGTGGAATCTTTTCTGGATTGTTCTCCAGTCAGAGGAGCTTGACAGAGATTCATTGTGTATTGGAAAGATTACTTTCTGCATTCCTACAAGATGTAAATGCAAGTAGATAAATAGGTACCACTTCAGTGGGGAGGAAACAGCGCTCCCTGACGTCATGCTGGCCACATGAGTGCAGAAATGTCTTCGGACAGTGCTGGCTCAATGGCCTTGAAACAGAGATAAGCATTGCCCCTAGAGTCAGCAGTGACTCTTCTTCCTGTGCCATATCCGTCAAATAATGCTGTATTTTTCCGGATGTCGCATCACATGTCCAAAATATTCTAACTTTCTCTTTTTTATGGTTTTTGATATTTCCCTTTGCTTTGCTTTCCCAAGTGGCTCATCACCTTCTCATTTCTGATTTTGTCAACCCCCCTTATACGTAACAGCTGCCTGTAAATCCACATTTCAAATGCTTCTAGTCTCTTCAAGTGGCTTTCTGTCACAGACCAACTCTCCGCTTCGTAGAGCAGGATAGAAAAGGTGTTGTTGGAAGAAATGTCCATCTGGGTTCAGTTCCAGGTGGGAGAAAAGACACTGGATTCATGGAAGTTGCTTGGAAAGAAAGTTTATTGATGAACAGGGTCATATGGCTTGAGATCCTGGGCAAAAAAGGGAAGAGATGCTGGGAGTCCCTGGGTTTTATACCCTCTCTGGCTTTGAAGATTGGTTGCTGTCAGAGGTCATAGCTAGCTTTTTAGGTGTCTATGTGTTAAGTTTGGTTGAATCTTGCTGGGTAATGCAATGAAGGACAATTAAATGGCTCTGCCTGAAGGAGGTAGATCTTTGTTATGACTGGCCCAAGCCTTAATGGCCCATTGAGAAAGGTGGGGTGGGGGCTGAGTTTCTGCCTCCCTTTTAGGGGAAATATTCTGCCCTTTTTGTTGTTGTTAGTTGCGAAGTCGTGTCCAACCCATTGTGACCTCATAGACAATGTTCCTCCAGGCCTTCCTGTCCTCTGCCATCCTCTGGAGTCCATTTAAGCTCACACCGACTGCTTCAGTGACTCCATCCAGCCACTTCATTCTCTGCCGTCCCGTTCTTCTTTTGCCCTCAATCGTTCCCAGCATTAGGCTCTTCTCCAGTGAGTCCTTCCTTCTCATTAGGTGGCCAAAGTATTTGAGTTTCATCTTCAGGATCTGGCCTTCTAAAGAGCAGTCAGGGTTGATCTCCTCTGGGACTGATCAGTTTGATCGCTTTGCAGTCCAAGGGACTCACAGGAGTTTTCTATCTCATTTTCCTAGGAGAGGGGTGAGTGCTAACTTCTTACAATGTAACATCTGACATTCTTAGGCTTATGTCGTGACTGCAGAAGACCTTTTTCATTTTGAAGAATACACTCGCGGAGTAAATTTCCGCAGGGACTCCTTTCCTTTCCTTCCTCTGTTAATCAGATAGACAGAGGCTGAGCTGGATAGATCAGAGGCACCTTCCTACAACCGTTTCCAAATATGTATTTGGGTGGTGGTGATGGTGGTGAGAGAATAAAAGGATCAACTTGATTTTTTTGCAGGGATGGAGATCACTACGATGCGCTCCGAGACTGCCTAAGGGCCATCTCCCTGAATCCTTGCCACTTGAAGGCTCACTTCCGCCTGGCCCGTTGCCTCTTCGAGCTGAAGTATGTAGCAGAAGCCCTGGAGTGTCTGGATGATTTCAAAGGAAAGTTTCCCGAGCAAGCCCACAGCAGTGCTTGCGATGCCCTGGACCGGGACATCAATGCTGCCCTTTTCTCCAAAAGTGATAACGGTGAGGACTTAAAAAGACAACACCTTGCACTCCTGCCCTAAGTGTGAAAAACATTCTTTGTTCTTTTCTTTTTTTCATGTTTTATTTGTTTTATTTATATAACACTCAATGTTCACCAAACAGTATGTATTGCAGGTACAATTATATTTTGATAGTAATATTTATACATCTTCATTATATTTAATCATCGCCATCATATTAACAATATACTAACATTATGATATAATAACCTTAATGCTTAACATTTAACATTGTCTTCTTTAACAACTCTCCTCTATACCATTTTCTCCCTTTATATCTCTTCCTTTCTAACTTCTGTTTCTATTATCTAACCATTGATAAAATGTGTTCCATATCAAAAAACATTCAGTTTCTTCTTTATCCTTAATAGCAAGTGTTAATCTATCCATTTCTGCACACGCTAATATTTTTTTAATTACATTCTCCTCAGATGGGATCTCATCACTTTTCCATTGTTGCACAAATACAATTCTGGCTGCCATTAATATATGCAAAATCAAATATGCAGTCTTTTTGTCATATTTTTCTGGTAGAATAGGCAGCAAAAATATCTCTACTTTCAAATCTATATGTAGTTTTATCATTTTTTCCAACCATGTGTGTATTTTTGTCCAGTATTTTCTTGCTCTTGGGCATTCTTTATTCTTAAAGGGACAGATTTTTAAGAGACGCCAATGGTGCGTGTACTGTGTGGCATTAGCTTTTAACATTTTAGGAGGGGCAAAATAACCCCTGTGAAAGGGATAAGTCCACACATCTTTTTTAAAAAATGCTGCAACTAAGAAACATCTAGAGGACAGCCTTAGTGGGTGGGGATCAGCTATTTAAATCTGAAGGGTGGAAAAATCAGAAGAAAAACAGTTTGATCATTTAGTGCCCATGTGCCTAGACTAATCTGTAGCTTTGGAAAAGAAACTGATGAGAATAGTGATAGCTTGGATCAGAAAGTCCTACATTCACACTCCTTTTCAGCCTTGAATTCACTGTATGGCTTTAGTGAAGTGGCTATATTACAATTTTTGTTCCATATCTGCAAAATTAGTTGGGAAAGAGAGGATTGTATAGAAAATTGTCCCTGTGAAATCAAATTATTATGGATCATCACACAACCAGCCAGATGTTCATACCGGATTTGGCATTTTTATCTACCTGTCGAGTCTTTTCCAAGGACCTGGAATAGGCAGATGTTGTGTTTCATGGTGTTAGAGGTATCATCACAGGATGTAAGCTGAGTAAAGCTGCCTTTCGCAATTGACTGATGGTGGAATTTGTCAATGCTGATGGTATTCAATTGGTGGTCCACTTTGCTTTGGGGTTGCATCTATGATTATTGGTACAACGACTCTAGCTGAAGCTAGAGTCTTTTCTTGCATCGTTTCTTAGTTGCTATACTTATGTGGGGGGGGAGGGGATTTATGGAATGTAGAATGTAGAATGTTTTCCTCCAATGTGCCAGACATAACAACGATAAGGCTCCTGAGAACCAAGGCCAAATCAACGTGCCCTAGCAACGGCAGGAGGGAGTGCTGAGAAGTTCATCACCTCTTTGGTTGGCTATCGTGAAATGTGACACAAGGGGGGTGAACAGTATTTGTTCTTTAGTATTATACCAAAAACATAGGGATTATTCAGTGCTGGTTTCACCTTTGACCGTGCCGATATGATATGATAAACAGGATTTTTGAGGAAGCCAAGGCCTCAGAGTCTTGAATTGGTTGGGAGCATTACTCACAGTGGTGGGTTCCTCCCTGTTCGTCCCTGTTCGGCTGAGCCGGTAGCGGTGAAGATATGATGTCACCGAACCGGTTCTCTTTGTTCGGGAGCTGGGCCTTCCCGCCCCCCCCCGCCCCCCCCCCCCCCCCCCCCCCCCCGCTTTTATTCTTACCTTTTATTTGGTCCCACCCCCAATCTATTGCTGCCTCCCAAGTCCCAGCTGATCGGCTAGAAGGAAAAAAACTGTTTAAACTCTTGCCGCGGGGCTTCAAAGGGCCGCCCTACAGCTGATCAGTGTCAAAAGGCAGTGTGGTGGTAGACCGGTGCCTCCAAAAATAAATGAGTAGACTGATACAGCTCTGCAAGCAGTTAAAAGCCTGGTAGACCAGTACCTCTGCTAAATCATAAAGAATTGTCACATGACCATTAAGCCACGCCCACAAAATAAGCCACACCCACAGAACCGGTAGTAAAAAAATTTAGAACCCACCCCTGGTTACTCAGAACCAGTACAGATAGTACTCGATTTACAGTAGTTCATTTAGGGATCGTTCAAATGACCTATGACCATTTTTCACCGTTACCACCTTTGCAGCATCCCTGTGGTCATGTGATCAAAATTCAGATGTTTGGCAAGTGGTTCGTATTTATGACCATTACCGTGTCCCAGACTCATGTGATCCCCTTTTGCGACCTTCTGACAAGCAAAGTCAACGGGGAAGCCACATTCACTTAACAACTGGGGTGACTAACTTTATTAACTGCAATGATTCACATAACAACGGAGGCAAGAAAGGTCATGAAACGGGGCACTTCACAAATGCCTCACTTAACAGAAATGTTGGGCTCCGTTGTGGTCGTAAGTCAAGGACTACCTGTACTGCCTTTGCTTTCTTTTACCACCTTCATTCTATTTCTATGAGCCACAGTGGCGCAATGGTTAGAGTGCAGTACTGCAGGCTACTTCTGCTGACTGCCGGCTGACTGCAATTTGGCAGTTCGAATCTCACCAGGCTCAAGGTTGACTCAGCCGTCCATCCTTCCGAGGTTGGTAAAATGAGGACCCAGACTGTTGGGGGCAATAGGCTGACTCTGTAAACTGCTTAGAGAGGGGTGTTAGACTCAGTTTCATTGAGGGCTGTATCAGGGCTGTGGTTGACCTCGGGCTGGTGGGTGGGCATGGCTAATTGGGTGGGTGTGGCCATCTTAACGCCACTCACTGGGTGTGGCCATCTGGGTGGGCGTGGCCAGTTTGATGTCACTCCCCAAACTGCTGGCATGTTTCCTCTTCGCACTAGGTAAACCGGGCTGAAATGACGCGGGCAAGCCCCTTACATTTTCCAGGAGGGCCCTGTGGCTAGATCCGACCACATCTGGCCCGCAGGCCTTGTGTTTGACACCCCTGACTTAGAGAGGGCTGTAAAAGCACTGTGAAGTAAATATATATGTCTAAATCAGAGGTGGGATTCAGCAGGTTCTGACCAGTTCTAGAGAGGCAGTAGCAGAAATTTTGAGTAGTTCGGAGAACTGGTAGTACAAATTCTGACTGGCCCCGCCCACATCTATTCTCTGCCTCCCGAGTCCCAGCTGATTGGGAGGAAATGGGGATTTTGCAGTATCCTCCCTCTGCCACGCCCACCAAGCCATGCCACGCCCACCAAGCCACACCCACAGAACTGGTAGTAAAAAAAATTGAAACCCACCACCGGTTTAAGTGCTATTGCTATTTGCAGGTCTCTCCAGCTGTTACTTATTTTTTATAAAAAAAAAAATTGCCTTCCATCTCGCTTTCCTGCGACTCGCATCATTGGTATCTCCCCAAAGTTCCCAAAAGAAGTATAACTTAGCAATTTCATTTTCTCCAGGGGAAGACAAGAAAGGGAGTGGCCCCATCTGGCTGCGAGCAACTGGCCGCAAGGATTCAATATCGGAGGATGAAATGGTGCTGAGGGAGCGCAGCTACGACTACAAATTCAGATACTGCGGCCACTGTAACACCACCACAGACATCAAAGAGGCGAACTTCTTTGGCAGGTAGGGAGCCGCCTCTCAAGGCCAAGGGTAGGGGTGTTTTTTGTGGGGTGCTGCTGTCTCCGCAAATTCCTTCTGGGGGCTTTTTTAAAAAACATACTCCCACAGCATCGGCAAATGCTCATAAGTTCCGGAACTCGTAATTTAAAACTTAAGTCCTATGTAATCCTAAATCTAAAAACCTAAAATTACTACTAATTAAAAAAAAAAACTAACTTAACTAATAATTGATAACCTGGCGTTGCCCAGGTATTTATTTATCCCAATCCTATATCAGACAGGAAGAGCAACTTCACCCTGAGTCCTGATTTCGGCGAGAATTAAATTAGTTAAAAATTGTTTTCCCTGTGTCCCAGAGGTGGGTTTCAGCAGGTTCTGACCAGTTCTGGAGAACTGGTAGTGGAAATTCAGAGAACCAGTAGTAAAAATTCTGACTGACCCCGCCCACATCTATTCTCTGCCTCCCAAGTCCCAGCTGATTGGGAAGAAATGGGGATTTTGCAGCATCCTTCCCCTGGAGTGGGATGGGAATGGAGATTTTGCAGCATCCTTCCCCTGGAGTGGGGAGGGAATGGAGATTTTGCAGTATCCTTCCCCTGCCAAGCCACACCACACCCAGCAAGCCACGCCCACAGAACCGGTAGTAAAAATATTTGAATTACACCCACTGATTAGTACTACTCAATATCATGGTTCGAGGGAGAAGGAAACGCTTTGTGCAGTCTATAAATGTAACCAACCACTAAACCTGCTCTTTTTGGTTGCCTCCTAGCAATGCGCAGTACATCATCAGTGGCTCCGATGATGGTTCCTTCTTTATCTGGGAGAAAGAAACAACTAATCTGGTGCGAGTGCTGCAGGGCGACGAGTCGATTGTGAACTGCCTTCAGCCCCACCCGAGCTACTGCTTCCTGGCCACCAGTGGCATCGATCCAGTGGTACGGCTTTGGAATCCCAGGCCAGAAGTAAGATCGGGGGCAGGGGGTTCTACCTGGGTTGGAATCTGTGGTCCGCATGGCATGAAATTAAGAAAAAAATATTACATAAAAATCCCAAATTGGGTTTCAACTATGGAAGCAATGATCTATCCTAATACATTGAATTTAAGTAAAATGCTAAAATACAGTGAAATTTTAAACAACCAGGGAAATCTAAAAAGTATGCAAGAATTGGAAGAACAAGGAATAAATATAGATTGGTGGCCTTATCTACAATTAAAATCAAGATATATAAAAGATAAAAATGAATATGGCATTGAAATTCTACCAAAACAATTAGATAAAATAATGTTTGGCCCAGATGAAAAATTAATAACCAAAATATATAATTATTTACTAGAATTTGATGGAATCTGTGGTCCTTTTAGATCAGGATTAATGCTATTCTGCAATGGAGAAAACCTTTGATTTCTGACCAAGTTGAGGAAACTTCCTCAATAAGGGAAAAGGCTATATTGGCAGGGCTCTGAAATGCTCCATTTTTCTCCCTGGAAATAGAACAAAACTTTCCGAAATATCTTAAATATTTATTAATGGTTTTACAGGGAATTGACTTATGACCATATGGTGTTGACCATAAGTTATATGACTTACATAAGTTATCAACATAAATTATAGTTATGATCATAAGTTGAGGCACCCACATGACCAGAAGTAAATTTCTGGCTTTTTTCATGGTGGTTGTTAAATGAACACCATGACTGTTAAACAAACGAATGGGTTCCCCATCCCCCTCACCCCCAAAACCAGTAAAAAATGGCAAAAGCCAACAAAAGTCATGCTCACATGATCGTGGAATTCCAGAACAGGTCATAAAGCTGATCTGCCAGATGTGGTTACATGATTGGGCGGGCAGTGTGGCCATTTACAATGACTGGAAGTTCTTTATTGGCCTTAACGCACCCATTCCATGGCCATCAAAACTTGCAAACAGTCATAAAATCAGCAGTCTTTAATCAAGGACTGCCTATAATGACTGCTTCATAGAACGGTGTTGCTGGTTGGCATTTGGGATTTTTCCTGGGCTTGGTGGTTTGTTCCTGATATGCTTTTCTTTCTTTTTTCTTTTCTTTACTTTAAGCAAACTGATTTTTGTTCTTGTTAGGGCAATTATGCTTTAATGTTGACTCTTTAGTGACCCAGGGGCAGGGAGATGTTTTCCTCATGAGGCTCAAAAAGCATCAAGTCCCTTTGCATGTATTGGCACAGAAATAACTTTTACGACATCTTGAACTAAAAGCCACTGTCTGAGGGATTTCTAAATGATATTTCCATGCTCGAGGATAACAGGCCTAGTGTGTATAAATCCTGCCTACCCATCTGGCAGAGGGAAGCATTATCTAACTGTATTGTTAGGTTGACATGCCCTACTGAAACAAGCAAGGATTTAGTGTGCTGTGTTAAATTAACTGTCGGGTTTCCAAGTGATGAAACCCATTCAAAAAAGAAATAGGCAAAGTTCCATCTTCCAAAACAAATTTCTTTTATTTAGATAGGCATCAAATTGGCAAAGTCTGTTGTAATTCCGGATCTGACACAAACCGGAATTACACCACATTATATTGTAAGTTAGAAACATCCCTCAAAAGTCACGTTCTCCAATAAACACTCAATCCACATTTCCCGGTGTCTTCAAACTCCACCTTCCATTCTCACCAGGAGCAGCCTCTGTTCCCACAGGAAAGAAGCCAAAACAATCCTCACTATCTATTTGCTCCTTCCCCCCCACCGTAAGAATGTGGTGAGCCCGAAAACCCCCCTTACATAGTAAAGAGAAAGAAAAGGAATACATGATTATAATAGAGAGCTAAATAAAATGGCTACACATATGTCAAATTCGGGCTCGACATTAACCACCATTAGCCTTAGCTAGATGTGGAAATCCATACATCAAAAGAATGTAAAAAGAGATTTACTCACTCAGACCAGCATTCTAGTTTCTACGGCGGCCAACTAAATGTATTCGGAAGCGTCAGAACCATGGCTAGATCATGGCTAGCCCTGACCCTCTATAGATTTACCCAGGCTCTTTTTAAACTGCCAAAGGAGTGGCCATCACCACATCTGAGGGCAACAAACTCCTGAATATAACCGTATGTCGGGTAAATAAATATTTCCTTTAGCTGCTTCTGGATTTCCTTATAATTTAATTCTAAACCATGACCATGCAATGCTACACCACCAAGTCAAACAATCCACTTTTTGCCTTGAAGGCTTCTCCTGTTGTGCTATCTGAACGGTGTGTAGAAAGCTACTTTTGAGTAGAACCATCAAATAGTCAACTTGGGGGCTTTGGTCTTTCCGTTTTGTTTCACAGAGCGAAGCACTGAACGGGCGAGTGGTAGAAGATATGGAAGGCGCTTCCCAAGCCAATCAGAGGCGGATGAATGCTGATCCCTTGGAGGTGATGTTGATGAACATGGGCTACCGGATCACAGGAATGACTGGTGGTGGGTCTGGAGGCTCGGATGACGAAGACAGCTCTGAGAATCAGGTCCACTGCCGGACCAGCTAAAGTTGAATGGCCTCTCCTTCCTTATTTTTTTTTTTTTTTTGGTTTTCATTTTTGTTTTGTTTCGTTTGAAGGGAAATCTAGTTTGCTCCGTTTGAACTTGGAAGGACTGCACTGTTTCACACTATGCACAGGATGGGATATGCCAGCGAGGGCAGAAGTGACTGGGTTTTTTGACTGCTGCTACAATTTCTTCCTTCCCCTGTTCTACTATTAAGCAGCATGGTAATGTGGCCTGTTGAGTTTTTGCCCTCCCAGCAGAAGCTGGGATTCCTTTTCCACATTGTCTGTGAGCAGTGTACAACTGGTGACCCATCCCTTCATCCAGTGTGGCTGGATGGTGGGAAGCATTGCCTACATGAGTGTGTTTTGCAGAGAGGTTGTTGAAAACTCAATAAAATGTAAACTAGGGCAGGGATTATGGAATGATGTTCAATGCTGCGATCTCTGTCTCCCAAACTCAGCTTGCCTGCCATGCCGCGAGTTTGTAATTCAGCCCCCACACAACAGCTGGTGAACATGTACACGCATCGAAAACACGGCCGTGAGAAGGTCGCTAAATACATGGATGCTCAGTGAACATGGCTAGGGAAGTACAGAAAGCTGGTATTGGGCAGAGAGCCTCACTCTGGTTGGTACCTCACATCTGTCTGCACACAGAAGAAACCAAGAGAAAACTGCAACGGTGGGAAGCTACAGCACGAAGCTTGGCGGCTTATATAACATGAGCAAGTAAAATTATCTGATGTGGCTGTTTTTGGAAAACTTAACTTTCCCTTTCCCCAAAATAACTAAATTCCCATCTCTCGGTGGGTAAGGAGTGGGGTGTTTGCTGGAAAAAAAAATATCCTTGCTAGTGGAGACAAAGCTTCAACAAAGCTATACAGTACCATTATGATAATGAACTAGTGAAAGATTTGGGATAAAGCTGCCTCTTTCCTTATTGCTGCTGTGACCTCCACTGCACAGTTCTTTTTATTCCTTTCTTTTGTCATTAAATCCTAAAGAATCTACAGGAACTTCCTTTCTCATCTATTTCCTGATTCTTTTCATGTTGTAGCCTTCTCTCCTTGAGTGAATGTGGAAAAGATGTACGGCAAAGATACGTGTCTTAACCAAATCTTTTGAGAGGAATTGTATGTCAGGTGGAGACTCTCATCTTTAGGAAAATCGGCCCTTAACAGATTCTGTCATTAAGGATTTTTCTAGAACAGAGAATGGCATCAGTTCTGCTGTCCACACAACCTGGGATGCAGTGGGTGATGGGGCAAGTGAGATCATTCCTGCCTTCTGTGGCTTATTCAGTTGGAACTGAAAGCAAATCAGGATAGTATTGTGCTCACATCCACTGATTCATAATGGACTCAAGAAATCACAGCAGATTTTCTCACCAAATAGCTTGGCCAACAACCATAGTTACCATGATGTGTATGTTAGAAATCTGGGAGTGTCACTGAAGTCACCATCCCCATCAGTAATGTCCATAACAAACAATGATTGTGCAAATGATTAGTACATCAGGATGTCTGGTGTAATATTATATAAGTGACATCATTTGTACAACCACCCAATCTATACCTGCCTATAGTTCCACGAAACATCTTTCCTTGGTCTCTTCCTGCTTGCTAATTCTGGCCAAAGAATACCCTGCTGCAGCATACATTTAGCGATAGTCTTTCTGACCCAAGGAAGTCACTGTAGACCAGGTGTTTTTTTTTAAAAAAAAAAAAAACTTGGCAACTTTTAAGATGTATGCATTTCAACTCTTAGAATTCCCTAGCAATTCTGAGAATTGAAGTCCATGCATCATAAAGTTGGCAAGTTTGAACAACGCTGCCCTAGATTATTTCTTCCCATTATGGTGTTTTCTGCGTCCTTTAATTCCCATTTGGCTACTCCCAGTTTTTTTCGTTAATCTGGAAGAGGAGGAATCCATTCACACCTTAAGAAACCTGGGTGGTTGTTTTTCCTCTTCCCAAATACCTGCTAGTGCCAACTGCAGTCATACAGGCTCATTCAATTACCTTGCATCGGTAAAGCATTTTCGTCAGCCTAAAAGGTGTAAGGGATAAGAAAGCTGTGGTTTCCAGCTGTTGATGTAATTCCCATGATCCCCCATAATGGCTGCGCTGGTTTAATCTCTGCTGGGAATTGGAATTCAGCAATAATTAGAGGGCTGCCGATACCTTCTCCCCACCCCTTGTAGAGAATGTGATGCTAGATTGGATTGATCTTTTTCCTGACCTAGAAAAATGCTGGGGGTGGAAAGTTACAAAACCAACCGCCATTGTTCATGAAACAAAACTATTGTGCTCCTTTCCTGTCCAGTGGTTTTTAGATGTATGAAATATTCCAAGAAGCAAGAAGAATGAATGTTGTGTGTAACTGGGTACTTCAAAACTAATTTATTTTTCTACATTTTGAAGAGAAGTGTTTTACGTACAGCTTGTAGAGAGAAGTACCAAGGGTGCACAAGCCCCCACTTACACCTGCTTTGCAGGAGCAAGTCTTGATAGCCTGAAATTCCTCTTTGTCAAATGCTTCCCCTTGATTTGGGTTACACCCACGTTAAAAAAAAATGTGTAAATCCGCCATGGTCGTGGGGGGGGTGGTGGCCTGCTGTAGCCATATTCACAAAGTTGATACCAGGGTAGAAGTATTAGTTCACAGAAGCGCTACCAGAACAAGGATAGTCACAAACAGTTAAGGAGACGTTGACAGAAATAAGAGTGGCATGTTGCAAAACACTAACCTCTTCATTATGTTTCCACAATGCCTGTCGGCACCCCACAGTTTTCAGTACAAGGCTTTTTTTATGTTCCCAGGACATAGCTGCGAATAAAAAAAGGATGCTAAAGTCTGCTTATTTTGCTTTGCAGCCTGCTTGCTTGCTTCCTTTTATTATTCTTAATTAAAAGAAACTTTCATTAGACGGGATCATTTGTTTCACTGCGCAACTTCTGATATTAAAGCACCAAGTTCTTTTCATTTTAATTGGTCACCCCTTGGCAGGAAGAGGTGGGCTAAACACAGTTCCATATATTAGAAAATGCTTCGTTCTCCATATTCCAGAATGCTTCATTCATTCTATTTGTGGGGGGGAAAAGGATCATTCTGTGGGACTGAGAGTAGAAAATTCTGAAAGAGGAACGGTTATGGTTAACCGTGGTTTGGGCATGTGTCCCATTACTAAGTATGGGACAGAACTACTTTTTTCCTTTTGGCTAATTACTCCTTTTTTCAAAAGAACACCCAACAAAGCTATTTTTATAATTAGTAGTGAAATCGCTCCTGTGTATAATAGTTATAAAGAAAAAACTTCATTTGGGTTGCTGGTAAAGTGGTTGCTTTGTGTAACTTTTCAGGCGTTCCAAGTTAAGATTTTCTTCCTGAAACACTGTCTTTGCAACCAGCCTTAAGTCTTCTGTTGTTGTTGTGTTGTTGTTACTCAGAGTGGCATGTTTCTGTTTTTCTGGTTCCTGGAAGAGAAAGGATTAAGCAATTAAACATTACTTTGTTCTAGTTTTGGTGTCTTTCTATTTTTGAGACAGTTTGGACCTGGTGCTTATCTACTGTGCCTTTTACAAAGAGATCATCAGTGGTTTGATATATATATGTTAGCTAATGTCCAATCTTGCAGTTTGGCACAAATAAACCTTAACATTTATTTTTTTACTTATTCCCCATTTCTAGTTGTCCATTTAAAAGCTGCATCTGTGCTGTATAAAAATAGAGAATTGTTGATAGTATTCCTTGCCCAAGAAGAGTTTATGTCAGTCACCACTGCTAAAATCTTAAAAATTACACAGTTTCCTGCTTATGAAACAATTCCTTTTATTGGCTTTTTAAGGTTTCTAAATGTATCATTTAGAAATAAACATTTGAGTATTGGTCCTCTCTAGTTGAGACAGGTGAATTTGAATGCGATTGTACGTTAAAAGCTTAGTATAAGTTAGCTCTTGTACCTTACATTACTTTTTTTTTATTTTAAAAAAATACCTTCATTTCCTATCAATTAGGTTATCAGGAATAACCAAACATGATTCAAAGATGCTAAAAGTTATACGGTATCAAGCTGCTCATTGTGTACAGCTTGCTTGCTTGAGTCAGTACTTTGAAGCAGTTTGCAGGCTACCTTTAAAGTTCTTACATGTTTATAGAACACCACTTCCTACAGCCTAATTTCATCTTGTGTTTACACACGCATGTACACAGTATTTACGCAGAAATCTATAAATAGTGCTATGGATGTTGGTTGCCTTTTGTTCATGTTACTTGAACGCTCAACAAGGTAAACAAACTCGAGGGTTTTGAGTACATTTGTTCTCAGCAGCTGTATTTAAGAGTGCCTGGGTGCCCAAATAGCTTTGTTGTGAAGTAGAGGTAATAGCAATGAGATATTACTAGCTGTAATAAAGATACTAGAATGTACTCTTAGTGGTATAAATGAATGTACTATTAGAACCAGTAGTATTGCTGAAATACTACTGGATTGTACTACCTGTTGGCAGACATTATGCACACAATTGTTTAGCTTTTTTAAAAAACATCTAATGTTTTGTGCCACACATGAAGTAGGGTATACAAGAGATTCTGGCTACAGTTTTTGTTATTTAAGATGGAAACAGTGGCTGTATCTTCACAGGTAGATATGATGGTCATTACATGAAGAATAGCTTAGTTTCAGTCTGTATTGCCTTTATTTAAAAGGAATAGATATATAAGTGGTGCACAAAGATCTCTGCTTTAGCCTTGGGAAGATAATATCAGTCAAGAGCAAATAGGTGTGATTTACATAGCTGGATAGTTTGACCCAATGTAAGACAGTCTATGCTTGGCATCTGCATTAATTGAAGATTTGTGGATATAAACTATGAATGGTTATATATGCATGGATGAATGGTTCCACAAGGCATGTTCTTGATTACAACGTTTTTTTTAAAAAAACAATGTGTTACAAGTAGTAGTAGTAGTAGTAGTATGCCCACAACGGAGCCCAAAATTTCCGTTGCTGAGACCGTTAAGTGAGTTTTGCCCCCTTTTACAACCTTTCTTGCCACAGTTGTTAAGTGAACCACTGCAGTTGTTAAGTTAGTAACACAGTTGTTATGCGAATTTGGCTTCCCCATTGATTTTGGCTCATCAGAAGGTTGCAAAAGGTGACTACGTAACCCCAGGACACTGCAGTCATCAAAAATGTGAGCCACTTGCCAAGCATCTGAATTTTGATCATGTGACCATGGGGATGCTACAAGTGTAAAAACAATCACAAGTCCCTTTTTTCAGTGCGGTTGTAACTTGAGGGCTACCTGTATCTTGTTCTATAATGTTCTATATCAGGGGTATCAAACTCCATTTCATTGAGGGCCGCATCAGGGTTGTGTTTGACCAAGGGGGGCCGAGGTAGGCGTGACCAGTTCAACGTCACTCTTATCAAGGGCGCCTGTGGTGGCCCGAGCACTTCAGGCTCTGTTTTCGCTGGCAGAGGGTTGCAGGAGGCTGTCACAGCCGGAAACAGAGCTTGGGAGCCCGTTTTTGCTAGCAGACGCAACGCGGGACGGTCCTTTGCTGTTTCCAGGGTGGTCCATGGGCCAGATTTAAGCACCCCGTGGGTGGATCCGGCCCACAGGCCTTGAGTTTGACACTCCTGTTATATATACTTATAGAACACCACTTCCTACAGCCTTTATCTTGTTCCATAATCCTGGAAAGACTGCTAAACTTTAATATTTTAATAAACCTGATAGGAAGAACTTGACGTTGAATAGTTCGCATGGGGAGAATGCAAAATTAGCAGATTCAGTTCTCCCAGCAGTGGACTGTGAGTGCATAGATATTAAGAACATTAATTTGAATCTACATTTGATGGGGCAGGGGTGGGGAAGAGAATGGGAGATTTTTAGAAGTAGGAAAAAGCAAAATAGGGCTAAGACATTTACCAAACAAATTGCGCTTGTTTGGCAAGTTGTAGATCAGAGTGCAAAGCTATTAATTGTTGCAGAAGCCTTGGATCATACTGCACTAACCCACAAGCCATGGATATAAACCACGGTGACTAAATTCATTTAACCCAAAACTAACCCAAGAGGAAACAAGCCACATTGTGCCTTGGCACAGTGTGTGAGCCTACCTGCTTTATATGTTGCAATGTACTTTATGCACTTTTGCTGCTGCTTGTTTAAAGAAAACAAAAAATTCAAATTATGGGGGGGGGGGGGAAGGCTTGTATGTCCTAAGCAAAAGTAGACAGCCGCAGTAGCAATGATGCCTGATAGATGCCTGTTCCTCTTGCTAAGAGGATAATTTGTACATATGCTTTTCAAAATTCTCTTAATTGCTATTGTTAATCACATTTTAATATGTGTGTGTTATGTTTGTGTGCTTGCTTCATCACATTTTCATTTTTGCTCATTATGATTCATCACAATGCTATTTTAAATTCTCTAAGGTGCTCTGCTTTTTGTTAAGTGCTCTGTCAATCACTTCTCTCTCTTTTTGTCCCAAACTTAAATAATACTGGAAATCGTTTGTGACCTGCCAGTGTTTTACTGGAGTGCATGTGATTAAGATGGTGCAGGTCAGAACTAGTTAAATCCTCTCCATACAAGGGGCCAGAATTGTAATAACCAAGATACATATTCTATTGTTCTGACAGCTCTGCTGATTGAAAGATTAGCATATGAAGGATTATTTACTTGTTCAACCTGATATCCAGTTTATAGTAGTCCCTCCTTCAGTATTATTCCCAAACAGAACTCCAGTGATGAGATTATGTTGTAAAATTAGGGCATTAGATTTTGAGAATCAAAATGTAAGAAGGCCTATATAAATTCTGGCACCGGTATCACAAAATGGAGTGTTAATCCTAAACTTGGATGCTCTAAAAAGAGATGATGGAACAAATTTATGGAAAAGGCTATTTTAGGTACATGTTGAAGATGGTTAACAATATATAAATTCATTTCTGATACTGTGCACTGACTTTTCAGACAGAGTAATATTCCACACACAAATAATCATTTAGAAAAAACAACTGTCATCTAAAATATTTGCTTCTGTGTTCATTCAGTCTGCTGTAAAAATTATCCAAACAGGTGTGTATGCATCAAACCAGCATTGCTGACTTTTGAGCCAAGTCAAACTTAACGAAGTACTAAATAATATTGGAAGTTTTCAATTTCCATTTTATTTCAGAAATAAAGGGGTGTTGTTGTTTTACTGGCTGCTGTTGACAAAATCAGATTTGCAGAAGTCATAGCAAAATATATTTAGTCTCCACCGTCCACTTTCCTGAAAGTCTTCTCTATTGTATACAAATTTTCCTGTTTACTTCTGACCATTTTCCCATCAACGTTATCTGCAATCTTTTTTTTTTTTTGAAAAAAATTGAACATCCATTTATATTTAGCACAGTTCTCCAAATTTTTCATATGAGTTGACATGCTCCAAGACGTATTATGATCAGGGTGTCTACAGGGAAGGAGTCAAGAAAGTCAAGATGGAGGGCACAACCAAAAGATCAAAACCATGTGAAGGCATGGCGAAAAAAAAAAAAAAAAGCAGAACTTTGAGTCAACAGTTGTTATTATTTGCCTTGGTAGTACAGGGGTTTAAGGCACCCTGTTATTAAGCTTATTAAGACCAGCTGCCTGCAATTACTGCAGGGTTCGAATCTCGCCAAGGCTCAAGGTTGACTCAGCCTTCCATCCTTTCTAAGGTAGGTAAATTGAGGACCCAGTTTGTGGGGGCAATAAGCTGACTTTGTATAAATATACAAAAGGATGAAGGCTATTGCTTAACGCATTGTAAGCCGCCCTGAGTCTCCGGAGAAGGGCGGCATATAAATCAAATTAAAAAAAAAAAAATTATTTGCCACCTATCTCCCCGTGGGGCTACTCTTAAGTGGCTTACAATAATAAAAAAGAAAAATGAAAGGAGTATAAACAGAAGTAAAATAATAGAACAATAAAATAAACAATGACAAAGGAACACGAGTAAACTACATCAATGCGATAACCAAAAAGGTGAACAGGTAGAAAGCAGAGAGCAAAAGTGGGGGGAGGAGTGGAGTCTGCCATCAATCGAGCAGCTACATCAGTGTAGAACTCCCCCATTTGGTCAGGTCTTCAAATTATTGATTTTTCTGATCTTCCTCCCTTCCCATAGACTTTTCTGAGCCCCCCTGCCCCTGAGTTCATTGACTCAACCTTGCCTCCACCATTTCCTAATAACTCTGGATTAAACTGGGCTGAGGAAAAAGGGACCAGTTTAAAGGCACCGGTGAGTTTTCACAGAGGGTTTCACCTAGGAAGAAAAGACCCCCTTCCAAGCAGCCAAAGCAATGCCCAGGGTCCCTTCAACCCAGCCTTCCCCTTAAGCCACTGTTTCTCAACCTCAGGAACTTTAAGCTAGGTGGACTTCAATGCCCAGAATTCCCTAGCCCACTCTGTTCTGCTGGCTGGCTGGGGAATTCTGGGCATTGAAGTCCACCCTGCTTAAAGTTCCTGAGGTTGAGAAACACTGCCTTATGAAATACAGGTAGTCCTCGACTTATGACCACAATGGAGGCCAAAATTTCTGTTGTTAAGTGAAACATTTGTTAAGTTAGTTTTGCCCCATTTTATGATTAGAACCTTTCTTGCCACATTGGTTAAGTGATTCACCGCAGTGGGTAAGTTAGTAACATGGTTGTTAAGTGAATCTGACTTCCCCATTGACTGCCTGTCAGAAGGTCAGTAAAGGAGTTCACCTGACCCCGAGACACTGTCAGAAATATGAACCAGTTGCCAAGCATCTGAATTTTGATCACATGATCATGGGGCTGCGACAGAGGTCATAAGTGTGAAAAGCGGTCATAAGTCACTTTTTTCAGGGCCGTTGTAACTTTGAACAGCCACTAAATGAAATGTAAGTCAAGGACTTGCCTGTACCACCGAGAGCTAGGTATCTATGGGGATTCTCAGTCATCCAGGTCATGGTTGTCCCAACCATGCTTTCTTTTCAAAAGGCAACTGGACAATAAAGTTTATCTATCTATCTATCTATCTATCTATCTATCTATCTATCTATCTATCTCATCTATCCATCCATCTATCTAACTCTCTATTTTACCTATCTATCTCTATCATTGTCTTAATCATCTTATATTCACATTTTATATGTATGTTATTTTAACTGTTCATCGCCCTGAGTCCTTCGGGAGAAGGGCGGTATAAAAATTAAATAAATAAATATCTCATCTATCCATCCATATCTACCTATGTCTGTCTATCATCTGTCTGTCTGTCTTATCTATCAACCTATCTCTTTATCATCTATCTTATCTATCTCATCTATCCATTCATTCATACATCCATATCTATCTATCCACCCATCTATGTCTATCATCTATCTCATCTATCCATTCATCCATCCATATCTACCTATCTCTGTCTCTCATCTGTCTGTCTATCTTATCTATCCACCTATCTATCTATCTATCTTATCTATCTCATCTATCCATTCTTCCATTCATATCTACCTGTCTGTCTGACTGTCTGCCTATCATCTAGCTATCTATCTGTCTGTTTGTATATTTTCTCTCTCTCTCTGTCTCTATCATCCATCCCTCTGTCCATCCATCATTCAGCAATATCTACCTATCTACATCTACCTACCTACCTATCTCTGTCTCTATCTCTATCCATCCGTCTATCCATCTACTTTTGTTTCTTTGTTCAGAACGTCAGAACAGAACTGAAGAAGCTTCTGTGATGAGAAGCGAAACGTCTTCAAGCCAAAAACAAAGTCCACCAGCCTTTTGGGGGAAAAAAAAAAAAATCACCACCTTCAGGAAGCAGAGTTAGGCCACGCCTCCTCCGATCCCCGACACCCAGCTCTAAAGGCCTCGTCGGCCCCGCCCCGCCGTTGTCCGGAAGCGGGAGCCCCGTCTCCAGGAAGTGACGTCATTCAGGGCAACAACAACTCCTCCTCCTCCTCTTCCCCTCCCGGTGATGGAGGAAGAGGAGGCCGCGGAGGGGAAGATGAAGCAGTTCCACGGCGCTGTGGCGGTGGGGGTCGGCGGGTCCCTCGGGGCGGCGCTGGATCCGGAACGCAGCCGCTTCCCCTACTGCGTCGTGTGGACGCCGATCCCCGTTCTCACGTGAGCGACGGTCTCCTGCCTGAGGGGCTGCTGGAAGTGGGGGGGGGAGCGCAGGGCTGAAGAGGGCGAGCCGGTGTTGGGGATGATGGGTCGGGGAGTCGACAGTTCCTGCTGCTTTTGCAGGAGAACCCGGTGCGGTCTCTCTCTCTCTCTCTCTCCCTTTCCTCTCCCTCTCCCTCTCTCTCTCTCTCTCTCTGGAGCAGTGTTTGTCAACCTTGGTAGCTTGAAGATGGGTGGACTTCAACTCCAGAATCCCCCAGCCAGCAACGCTGGCTGGGGGGCTTCTGGGAGTTGAAGTCCACCCATCTTCAAGCTACCAAGGTTGAGAAACACTGCTCTGGAGCCACCCAACAAGGTTGTGAGGTGAGGGAATCTCGCACGCACCTCTAATGGTGGTGGTTTGTTTGTTTCAGAGGTCTTCAAACTTGGCCGCTTTAAGACTTGTGGACTTCCAACTCCCTGAATTCTGGGAGTTGAAGTCCACAAGTCTTAAAGTTGCCAAGGTTGGAGGCCCCTGCTCTATAGAGTCTCTGAAGAGCCTAGTATGGGTAAGGATAGGGCATGCCATCTTTCTCCAGTGCCAACTTTCCAGCTGTGTGGAATTTCACTGTTAACATTTTTTTACTGTCCAGTTAGTGAAATGTTGAGACTCTTGAGATGAGTGAGTGGAGTGGGAGACATTATTTTTCCTAGGTGCTTAAAAAAAGAAGACAACATTTCCTTTTCCTTAAAAAGAAGTTCTGATTTGTTGCCCCTTATGCACATGGGGAATATTTCATCGTAGTTGAAATGGGATGTCTGTTCTAGAAAGTTAGAACTGGATTGTCTCGTTCCCCCTTCATTCTGGGATGGGAGCTAATGGGAGGAGTCCAGGCTGGAGAAGGCAAAGTAAATAAATTTGGTAAGAAGGTTTATCTTACAATACCTGGTAATTATAGATAAGATTTGAACTGTAATTTTATTTTAGCCATTGAAATCCTGGCCTGTTTAAATATCTGAGAGAATTCTGGGAGTTGAAGTCCACAAGTCTTAAAGCGACCAAGTTTTGAAGACCTCTGGTTTATTGGCTGTGTGGTTGTGCAAGCCTTTGGGTAGTTGGTTGCTTCGGTTGCAGCTATGAGCATTTCTGCCAGTGTGGCTGGCTCTCCCCAGCTTGTTTCAAATTTAGTTATTGAACTGTTTCATTACCAGGATCAAGATTCAAGACTTAATAGCACTTTATAAATGCCTTGGTAAGGCCACACTTGGAATGTTGCATCCAGTATTTGGTCACCACGATGTAAAAAAAAAAAAAGGAGACTCTAGAACAGTGTTTCTCAACCTTAGCAATTCTATGACATGTGGATTTCAACTCCCAGAATTCCCCAGCCAGCAAGTCTGGCTAGGGAATTCTAGGAGTTGACGTCTGCACATCTTAGATTTGGCAAGGTTGAGAAACACTGCTTTAGAAAGAGTGCAGAGAAGTGCAATAAGAATGGTGGAGTGGAGTGGAATGGAAGTGTGATTGGACACACAAGGAATTTGTCTTGGTGCCTGTGCTCTCAGTATACATAAAAGGAAAAGATACGTTCATCAAGAATCATAAGGTACAACACTTAATGATAGTCATAGGGTACAAATAAGCAATCGGGAAACAATATAAATCGTAAGGATACAAGCAACAAAATTACAGTCATACAGTCATAGGTGGAAGGAGATGGGGTGGTGGGAACGATTGGAGGATAAAACACATGAAGAACAGTTGTTGGAATTTGGTATGTCTGGTCTGATGAAAAGAAGGACTAAGGGAGACATGATAGCAGTGTTCCAATATGTCAGGGCCTGCTACAAAGAAGAGGGAGTCAAACTATTCTCCAAAGCACCTGAGGGCAGGACAAGAAGCAACGGGTGGAAACTCATCAAGGAGAGAAGCAACTTAGAACTAAGGAGAAATTTCCTGACATAACAATTAATCAGTGGAACAACTTGCCTCCAGAAGTTGTAAATGCTCCAACACTGGAAGTTTTTAAGATGTTGGATAACCATTTGTCTGAAGTGGTGTAAGGTTTCCTGCCTAAGCAGGGGGTTGGACTAGAAGACCTCCAAGGTCCCTTCCAACTGTGTTATTCTATATTATATTACTAGGTAACATCATCAGCAGGATTTTCTTGTCCTATTCCTCTTTAGCTTACACAGGTACAGTCCTCTACTTACAACAGTTCATTTAAGGACCGTTCAGAGTTACATGGCACTGAAAAAAATGACTTACGACTGCTTTTCACACTTAAGACTATTGTGGCATCCCTGTGGTCACATGATCAAAATTCAAAAACTCTCGGCAGCTGACTCGTCTTTATGACCATGGCAGTGTCCTGGAGTCACATGGCACCTTTGGCAACCTTCTGATAAGCAAAGTCAATGGAGAAGTCAGGTTCGCTTAACAAGCATGTGACTATCTTAACAACTGCAGTGATTCACTTAACAACTGTGGCAAGAAAGGTCGTAAAATGAGGCAAAACTCACTTAAATGTTTCACTTAACAACAGAAATTTTGTGCTTAATTGTGGTCGTAAGTGGAGGACTACCTGTAAAACATGTGCCATGAGCATTTCTATCGGCTGAGATACTTGGACTTTAGCATGGCAATGGCAAGCTCCAATTAGGACCGAAGAAGATGGTTTTGTTTTCTTCCATCCAATTATTCTCTTATACACAAACACCCCACACACCCGGGCTAATCGATTAAGGAATTAAATTCAGATTTGGAAAACTGTAGAAAGTCTTAAGGGCTCCCTCTCTCAGAGCCACGATTTTGATTGAAATTAAACTTTGCATTGCTGCTGCTGTTGCTGCAAAAATGAGATCTGAATATTAGTCTCTGACACTGCATCTAAGGTGGCAGGATTGGGGCGGACCTCTAATCGTATCCTAGGAATATTTTTATCTGTGTTTCTAATATATTTATACAGAACATATGTATATATGGGAGCAGGATTTGTAAGGGAGTTGAATTATAGTTTTGCAGCTAGAAGGATACATTCTTGGTTAAGAGCAAACATATTTAACTTCTTTTGATTTTTTTGTCCGTTTTCGTTCTATCCAGCATGACCATGGACGACCAGTTCTACAGATTCCTGAAAACAAGTTTTTTTTTTCAATGTGAAGAAAGAAATGACTCTCTGGATGCTTTTCTTCTTTCTACAGATGGCTCTTCCCGATCATTGGCCACATGGGCATTTGCACTTCTGCAGGAGTCATCCGAGATTTTGCAGGGCCTTACTATGTCTCTGTAAGTAGAAGTTTGTTCCTCTACAACAGGGTTCTCCAACCTTGGCAACTTTAAGAGTTGTGGACTTCCAACTCTCAGAATTCCCTAGCTGGCATCCTTAACTTCACAGACCTTCAAGCTGCCAAGATTGACAAACACTGTTCTGGATAATAAATAAGAAAGATTTAAACTCAGCCATTTTCAGCTTAGTACCTCTGTATGTATGGGAATACAACTCTTTAACATTCTCACCTGATGGTTGTGGAGGGCACCAGAGAGGGAGGAGGAGAAAGTGTCCTCACTTATTGCATCACGGTATGGCATGCCGGTTTGACAGCCGCGGATATAAAAACATTACAGAAGGTGGTGAGCACAGCACAAAACATTGTGGGCTGTCCCCTGATACCACTAGATGACATCGCTAGAACTCACTGCCTTAGAAGAGTGAGGAAAATCCTCAGGGATGACTCAAACCCTGGTCACCATTTCTTTATCCTCCTGCCATCGGGAAGGATATATAGAAGCATAGGCAGACGCACAAACAGGCTGAAGAACAGTTTTTATCCGTGGGCTGTCAGACTCCTGAATGCGAAATAACATAACTACATAGTATGATGGAATGTGTAACATGTTCACACTGGTACAATAGGACTGGGGGTTGTTAATATGATTTATTGGATTAAGGATTTTTTGTCTTCACTGTGAGTTGTATTGTGTTGGGGGGGGGTGCATTGAGGGAGCTCAACCAATCTCATTGTACATATGTTGTGCACTGACAATAAAGATTTGAAATTTGAATAAATCCTCACCCAGAGAAGGTTAAAGAAGTGAATTGTGTCTTGTTTCTCAGCAGGAAGACAAATTGGATTTGGAAATTTTGTTTGAGTTTTGACACTGCATGTTGTATAGGCTTAACTTTTGCAGTTGATAAACTATGGTTTATGACTCCACCAAGGATAGTTTATTCAGTAAACCATGGTTAAACAGTTTAGTGTCATATACATCATCTTGTGCCATATCCATCATCGGATGTTGGCCATCCTATTTTTATCAACAGCCGCACAAAAAACTGCTGCTGAGTTTTGTCCAAACCAGCCCCTTAGATTTTGAAGCTATGATGTTCTTCTGCCTGGACCTCATTTGCCTTCAACCTTTCTCTGGAGGATTAAGTGAAGTATGCCATATTTTTCTGGGTGTCGCATCACATGTCACGTGGTCAGTGTAAACTCAGTACAGCTAATTTTGGAGGACATAAGCAGAACAAACAATGTTATCACAAGTATAGCTGATTTGGTAACTGAAATGTGCTTTTCCTTTTTTCTTTTGTTCCCTATCCTCTTTAGGAAGACAACATGGCTTTTGGAAAGCCTGTGAAGTAAGTGTTATTTCCCCCTCCACATTTTAATTTGCAAATGTATTTTTGTGGCTGAAACAGAACAATAGATGCCATATTCCAGTTAAGAAGACAAAAACAAAGATTACAGTTGGCTGTTGGAGCATGCACCAATAAGGCAACATAACATTAAACCTCTTTGTATTTACAATCATCTGAACTTCTAATCTAATCAAGCTTTCTACTGTTAATGAGTGAGCTGAAGTTAATTAATGATCCAAGTAGCTCTTCTGTCTATCCAAATGTTGGTTTTTCTCTTATGTTAGCCCTGTCTGCTTCCATCTGACACCTCTTTTGTGGGAACCAAAACAATGCAGATTTTAAAGTTCCATAAACTGGTGCAAAAGAAAGGGAAATTAAGATTAACATTCAGTGTATGTCTACTCAAAAATAAATTTTGACTTTGCTCATGCTTCTAGGGAATTTATTCCCTATTAGATAAAAAAAAAATCTTAAAGGAGTTGCCACTATCAACCAACCAGACTGTTATTTACTGTATTTTTCAGAATATAAAACACACCAGACTATAAGATGCACCTACCTTTTTTGGTGAGGAAAACAAGAAAAAGAAATCTGCCTCTGCCTCCCAGCAATTTTGCCTCCTAGCAGAAACAGCCTGCTTTACTTTCATTTTCGTTTTCAGCATAGCTTGATTAGCACAAGGGAGAAAAAAATCTGCTCCAGCAATTTACCTCCTTGCAGCAAGCAGCAGAGGCCCGCACAGAGCAAAAAAACTGAGAGTCAGGAGGCTGATCCAATGAACTTGTGCTAATTAGGCTGTGCTGAAGCTGAAACGAGCTGTTGCTGCTTGCTGCAAGAAGGTAATTGCTGGGAGGCAGAGGCCAAAGGGTGGGGGCCAGTGGATGGGCGGGGCTACCTTCGGTGTATAAGACACACTTAAATTTTCACCCCCTTTTAGGGGGGAAAATGTGCGTCTTATACTCCGAAAAATACAGTACTATTTTAATTATGTCTCCTGTTGATGGATTTTGATTAAGGTAATTACTCAAGTTATCTTGGCAAGAGTCTTAATTCCTTGAAAATTCTGCACTCAATTTCTGAGATTTCTTGAGCCTTGAATCATGTATCTTCAAGCTTCATTTGCAGCTCTAAGGACTAGAAATACATATACAGTAATATTTCAGCAGATGTTCAATTAGATCCTTAGTGATACTTTCACCAGCCATGAAAGTATGCCATGAACTAAAAATTACAACCAAAATTGAGGCCAAAATTTCTGTTGCTAAGTGAGACAGTTAAGTGCTCCGATTTATGACCTTCTTTGCCATAGTCATTAAGTGAATCACTGCAGCTGTTAAATTAGTAACACAGGGGCTAAGTGAATCCGGCTTCCCCATTAACTTTGCTTGTCAGGAGGTCACCAAAGGTGATCACATGACTCGGACATGGCAACCGCCAATAATACATGCCAGTTGCCAAGTGTCCAAAATTCGATCCCATGTCTGTGGGGATGCTGCAACAGTCGTAACTGTGAAAGCCATTCGTAAGGGCCTTTTTTCAGCGGTGTTGTAGCTTCAAACGGTCCCTCAGCGAATGGTTGTAAGCTGAGGACTACTTGTATTTGGAATTGTGCTATTTAAATATTTTAGTAACTTTTCAGAAGGTGAGGTGTTCCATGTGATGAAAGCGGGAAAATAATTTTGATTTGCCCTCCCCCCTCTTCTGTCAGATACTGGAAGCTGGATCCCAACAAAGTCTATTCCTGTGGTCCCAATGCTTGGGATACAGCAGTACATGATGCCTCTGAGGAATATAAGCACCGAATGGTGAGTAAAGTTCGGTTTTCAGTTTAAGCTTGAGGACGTCTTCTGTTGTGGCCCGCCGGCGGCCAGCAGAGCTGGCAGCAGAGTCAGACAGTGAGGAGGTTGAGGAGGAACATGGGCCAGTCCTGGGGGCTGGGGAAAGCTCGGACGAGGGCTCTGCATTGGAGGCAGAGAGGGAGATAGACATCAGTGAGGCAGAGGAACAGCTGTAGCCCGTTCCCAGTGTGCGCATGCGCAGAGCTGCCAGAAGACAACTCAGAAAGCAGGGTCGACTTGGGAGTAACTTGGAGATGATTGGCCCCTCCCATAGGAAACAAAAGAGGAGTGAACGGGAAATGGGATTTTGCAGGAAACAATTAATTTGTTCGGTAGTTTCAAAAGTGGAAAGTTCTGTTCGTGACTAAGAGACTCTATGCCAAGTTTTGCCTTACTCTGTGTTTGGAAACAAGTTACGTGGCAGCTTGCCAAACGAGATAAGGTGTGTTGATAAATATTCCTTTGAAAAACTGTTTGGACAAACTTTGCTGACTGTGAATGAAAGTCTTGTAAATAAAAGAGGTTTTGTCCGGACCAATTCCCGCTTTCTGTTTTTTAAGGGAGCCTAGGTCAGAACATCTTCTCTATCTAAGTACTGAGTATGTCTAGAGAAGATATTTGAAGTAGAGATATCTTCAATTGTACATTTTTTTCCCTCTCTCTTATAGCATAACCTCTGTTGTGACAATTGCCATTCTCATGTAGCTCTAGCCTTAAATCTCATGCGATATGACAACAGTACTTCCTGGAACATGATCAAACTTTGTTTTTTCTCTTTGCTGTATGGAAAGTATGTAAGGTGAGTAGAAAACTCCGTTGCTTTTGTATCTTTGAGTAAAAGAGAGAGAGAACATTTTAATCCAGAGCTTGGTTCTCCTTTAACGTCTCGTGTATGTAATAGGCAGATAATTTTATGTCCCTTGTACCTAGACGCTTTAGATCAGGGGTGTCAAACTCACAGCGTCACGGCATCGTTACGTGACATTTTTTCCCCTTCGCTAAACCGGGCGTGGGCGTGGCCAGCACGTGACACATCCGGCCCACGGGATGGGAGTTTGACAGGCCTGCTTTAGATCCATTGATGTTTGTGGTATAGAGGTTTTTTTCTCCCCCATTGCAAATTATTTGTACAATCCCAAGTTTGCACATCCCTGTATGTATGTATGTATGTATGTATGTATGTATGTATGTATGTATGTATTTATTTATTGGTTGGTTGGTTGGTTGGTTGGTTGGTTGGTTGGTTGGTTGGTTGGTTCTATTTATATGCCGCCCTTTTCCGGAGGCTCAGGGCAGCTTACAATGCGTTAAGCAGTAGCCTTCATACTTTTGTATATATATTTTGTATTGAATGTCTATTCTTGTACTGCTATACGTATAGGATTAGCAGACACAGTCCAGTAGGAACTTCTGCAAGGTTTTACAAAAAAGCCTCTAATGCTTCCCAATTTGCATAGTTTATTCTTATGGCAATGTGGAAAGTCAGAAGGTTACACAGAACCAAGTGCAATTGACACTTTTTGCCTTCTGAGACTGCTTACACTGTTACGTCAGTAACTTTAAGGGCTACTAACTTCACTATTTTTTAAGAGCTTTTTAAGAGGTTGCTGAAAGCTAGTTCAGTGTCTGGTCTAAGTGTTTGCAGATGCATTGTGCTAGCTCGTTATGATGTAGAAAATAGTACCATTAGAAGGAAGAAATAAGTCTCTTTTGACAAAATAGCATTTCTCAACCCATTGACTTGTTGACCCGGATAGGCCATTCAGAAATGGTAACTATTATTTAATATTAATATTTAATTTAATATTGTTCGTGTATTAAATATTATTGCATAGCTTTACATTGTGCTACTAAATAGTCTATGAAAGAGAACATTCCTGCCAAAAATGCAGTGACGACAACTTTCAGGCTTGTGAAGTAGTAATAATTGTTTTAATAAAATTCTCAACTCCTCTAGCTTAGAACCTAATTTTTAAAAAAAGCATTCTGAGAGTTTATATCGAATATCAGAATGCAACAGAGATTGTATTTCTTCCAGAAGTCCATTTCCACTTTGCTGAAGCATTCATAATTTTATCAGTGAATTTGACAGATGGCAGAATATCATTTGATTGTAAAATAACAGGGAGTCAGAAAACCTTGGAAATCTACTGTACGTCACCCAGATTGTGCATCTGTGTGGTTACGGCACTTAATATACCATGTACTTTATACTATCTGTATGCCAGTTAAAATAAACAAATGAAGGATTGATTGTTATTACATATGGACCATGAGTGTGAATGGTTCTTTGCCAGCATTTCTTCCAAAGAGTTAGCCAATGAAATTGGCAGAGATTTAAAGAAAGAGTAGGTGGAAACAGGGCTCAGCCAGGATTATTCAGTTAGTGTTTAGGTTTGAAAACTTGTGGACTTCAACTCCCAGAATTCTCCAGCCAGTTATGCTGGCTGGGGAATTCTGGGCATTGAAGTCCACAGCTCTTAAAGTTGTCATGGTTGGACACTCCTGGCTTAATATGTCCCTTTCCTTTGCTCTGTTCTGCTTATTCTCAGCAACCCTTCTTCTCTTTCTATTCCTGGTCCTCCGTGGCTGCACTTCAGTGGCTTATAGGCTCCCCTCCCATTTTGTTTTCTGAAATCTCTTTTCTCTCTTTTACAGCATAGGAGGCTTTGTGAAGACTTGGCTTCCCTTCTTCCTCTTTTTGGGGATTATCCTGATAGTCATCTTGACTCTTCACATACGGTGATGGATGACATTGGTGTGTCCGTCCGTCCACCCACCTTCCCCCTTGTCCCCTTTGAAGTCAAGTGCTGGAATCCGTGGCTTTTCAGCCCAGGAAGGCATAGAGAGCTGCATGGTGTGGAAAGCCCTCAAAAAAAGAAAGAACGAAAGAACTCCATTAGTATTTTGTAATAACAACTCTGCTGTTATCCCCTAGGATTCTTCGTTTGGATGAGGATGGTTTCTTTCAACCTACTTGACTTGGAACGTTTTGGGATTGGGAAAGGAGGGAGACTCTTGCATTGTACTTCTCGCCTAAACCTTTGTGACCAAAGGTTCCCACATGGAAATCCCAAATAGGGTTTGGGTCGATAGGACAATGAAGGGAGGGTTTCATTAACCTTGGGTGAGATGTCTAAGGAGGGGGGTAACTTTCTCTGATTTTCCCCAGAGGTGATTAATGAGCACTAAATGGAAGGTGGCTATCTTGTAGCCACTACCCTGGGATGGGGTAATATTTGCTTGCACTGAATGATGGGATTTCCAGTGATGATGGTGGCCTCAAACTGGAAGAATGACCCGCTTGGTCTATGCAGGGCTTTCTGTGAGACGAGATTAATTTTAAGTTTCTTCTGGCGCAGAACAGGAGTTTTAACTAAAGATGAATGTTGTTTTCCTCTTAACCCACCGCACAGAAAGTCTGTCTCTTTGTTTGTATGTGTCTTGACTCTAGTCTCCTAGGAACCAGCATTCGAAAGGCAGTTGATCTCAATGGATCTTCGTTACCTTCTTGTCAGCTTAAACTGCCCCCTTGTCACAGACCTGCTAAAAAGAATGTAAACTGCTCTCTTTGAGGAGCTGTTTCTCGAGAATTCTGGTAAGACTTCCTCATTACCCTTATTATAGAATTTATTTCCAAAGCCCTAGCTCTACCTGGGTTCGTCATACATTATACTGTGCCTTGGAAGTCACTGGAAACCTAACCCGCAGCCATTAAAACACTTCATCTTTTATAGCGAGAGTTTGGATGCTAGAAGCCATACCAGCGTCATATCTGCTGTTAGAAAAAATGAATCATTCCTTTAGGGCTCAGCTTTTCCCCTGCTGTGGCCAGGTATCGAAAGAGCAATAGCTGCTCAGATGAATTTTAATTTAATTCGGGCTTACGGCTTTCCTTGCCTGTTGTGTGGAAAAAAAAGGGGGCACCCTCTTCTCTTTAACTGAAGGTGACCTAAAAAAATAATAATAAACCGCCATGCTTTCCTTTCATTTCCACCCTCCTTGTTCCCATGCTAGCCTTCGTCCTTTTGTTCCTCCTGTGGTGCCAAAAATGCGTGCTGTGTACAAGAGAGGCACCTGTGGCTTAGCAGGTCTTGGGGGTCTCCGTTGCATTCAGCCATTTCAAGCATGAATGATGGCAGCTGTAAGAAAACTGATCCATAAGCTCTAGGCTGATTAGAGATCAAAGGTCTTACATCAAAGTGACACCGTGTGGTGTTCCATCAAGCTATTCCTTGGGCTATTTCGCTTACGTCCCAGTAGGGGATTCTAGTTCTTATGGAAATAATAGACTGAATTAATAACGCACACATTACTCAACTTTTTTCCCTTTTTATTCCCCCCCTCCCCTCATAGTGACTTGCCAAAAAAATAAAAATAAAAAAGCTCCAGGAAGCCTAAGCTTTTCCCAGACCTGGAACTTAAAGCCAACTTGTCTTTCTATCATAGCAGTGATCTAAGCTCATCTTTTCAATCAAAACGGAAAGTGCTTTTCTGACATAATATGACTGTACAAGCATTACCAAAATATGAAGCTTGCTGGAGGAGCCAAAAAAAAAAAAAAAAATCACAGAAAGTGACTGTGGTTGTTTTTTCTCTTCTTTTCTCAACATCCCTTCCTCTCCCTCCCCTTCCATTATTTTGGTCCCTACAGGATTATTTTTTTAAAAGCCTATATTTGTGAACCGGCCAATGAATGATCAATAGGGAGGCTCAAAGGAGAATATGAAGTTGGGGGGGGGGGACTTAAAGCTATGGAAAAGCTAAAGCTGCAGATTCTGATTTTCTTGTTATTTTGCTCCCTTGAGGAAGGATTTCCTAGTAGTCCTAGCCAGTAGAACTACGATTGGAAGCAGTTTCTCTGTTACAAATTGCTACCACTTCTAAATTAAGTTCTTAGGTTCCACCTAACAACTGAGCCACACCCTTTAAGGGAAAGTGGCTTAGGGGTGATTTTACCGTACATTATATTTGCAAATCTGCTTTATTGGGGTTCCAGAGATTGGGGAAAGCCAAAAATAAGTTTGCAGGACCTTGGGTGGAAAAAATGCAGCTTAAGCAAGGCAGGTAGGTAGTGGAGTGCACGCGTTGTAGTCCGATTGCGGTTTCTAGCCTTCGCATAATCCTATCTCAAATATTTTACCCAAACCTACGTTGTCTCCTCCTGTTTAACAGCCGCATGAAAACTACTCATGTTTCAAAATCTACGTTAATGACTAGTTCTTACTGTGTTTTAAAATCTTCTATGGGAAACACTTCTGGGTCAAAGTGATGAAGCTGATGAAGCTGCTTGGATGAGCAGCGAAATGTCTCAAATGAACAAAAAAAGATAATTAGTCCAGTTGCCATAATTCAATCTTCGGACACCTTTCCTTGGATGACCGAGAGTCTTCCTCAACACACTTCTGGATAGGCATTTTGGTGGTTTAAATCTTGATTGGAGCCTGCCTGGCCATGCTTGCAGACAGCCCCTGACTAGCTCTCATTGTGGAGTCAAGAAAAATATATATATATTACTACTTGGTTGAATAGATGTAGTGAGAAACCTGTATGTCAGGATGGGAAATTTATTTTCCCAAGGGGCCACGTGAGAAACTGGGACTGTTGTGGCGTGTGAAACCAGGAGGACCAACACATTATTGTGAAGGTGCAGAGGCACACATACATAAATTGGGAGAGGGGAAATCACTTTCAAAATAAAAGTGATGCAGTTGTATTGTAAGTATGGCCTACACTTATTTACATTTGAGCTCTAATTTCTGATAAACCTCAAGTGAACCAGGCAGGGACAGCCAAAGGGCTGGATGTGACCCAGGGGCCGTAAAATGCCCCGATCTGCTATATGTAGTGACATGATCTGTGAATTCTATATTTATTCACATCTGCCTTGAAGTGTCTTAGTTGTAGGGATTTGGTCCAAGTCCAAAGTACTTTCCGAAGTTTTCACTCATTACCTTTTTTTCCCTTTACATTATTTCATTGTTGTTATGGTCTTCCATTTTGCCTTTTGTTTAGCTTTCTCTGTAAAGCTCCCATCAATTTGTTCGTTCTTTCCTTTGCTGGTGTCTACCTAAAATGGTCTTCTAGTCCAGTTGCTTGATTCCTTTGTAAATACCAAAGTCTGCTGCTGTAATTTCATTATCCCAATGAGGGTGAAAAATAAATGCATTTGTGTACTCCAGCAAGCTGCACTGGCTGTTCTTTCTTTTCGTCCAGGAAGAAGAGAAGTTTGTGTTCAAAATGAGTGACTCAAATATATTTTATGTTAGTTATTTTTAAGTGATTAAAGCACCAGGCTAGAAACCAGGAGACTGTGAGTTCTAGTCCTGTCTTACACATGAAATTCAATTGGGTGACTTTGGCCCAGGAACTCTCTCACTCCAACCCACCTCACAGAGTTGTTGTTGTTGCGGGGAAAATAGGAGGCAAAAGGAGTACTATGTATGTTCGCCACCTTGAGTTGTTTATAAAAATAAAGGTAAGATAAAAATATAAATAAATACATCTGAAATTAGCTATTCTACTCTTTCTGAAATTGAAGAGAAATAGGGCAGGATTACAATTTTTCTTCCCTCTCCAGAATGGAGACTTTCATCCTCTGGAGCAGGGGTCTCCAACCCTGGCTACTTTAAGACTTGTGGACTTCAACTCCCAGAATTCCTCAGCCAGCTTTGCAAAAACCCAAACACGTTCCCAGAAATGCCTCCCTTCCTATGCCCATGATAAATAGCTTTCTGGTGCAGTCAATCAAGATGGGCAGGGCCTTCTCCCGAGAAATCTGGCAAATCTCCATTGCTCTTGTCTTTTCTCTGCCCTGCGTGCTCTCGGATCCATCAAGGAAGGCAGCTCCTCCTCCTCTTCACTGACTGTCCCTGCAAGCTGTCCCCAGCCGAAGTTTCCCGTAAATCTCTTTCACCCTGCAGTTCAGTCATCAATTAACCCAATTCCTGACTGCCAGGACTGAGCTCATCCTCCCTTGAGCTGATCTCCGAGGAAGAATCTGAGTCGTCCAAGGGAGATGGGAGACATCACATGGACTATCTGTAAAGAATATCTGTCCTGGTCCTATTAGACCTCTCAGCGGCTTTTGATATCATCGACCATGGTATCATGCTGCACCGGCTAGAGGAGTTAGGGGTGGGGGACACCATCCTACGGTGGTTCTCCTCCTTTCTCTCTGACCGGTCGCAGTCTGTGTTGACGGGGGCAGAGGTCAACCCCGAGGCCCCTTGTATGTGGGGTGCCACAAGGGTCGGTCCTCTCGCCCCTTCTGTTCAACATTTATGTGAAGCCGCTGGGTGAGATCATTCGTGGTTTCGGGGTGAAGTACCATCAGTACGCTGATGATACTCAGCTGTACATCTCCACCCCGGACCACCCCAATGATGCCCTTGAAGTGATGTCCCGGTGCCTGGAGGCCGTGCGGATCTGGATGGGGAGAAACAGACTCAGGCTCAACCCATCCAAGACCAAGTGGCTGTGGTTTCCGACATCCCGATATAGTCGGTGCCATCACTGACTATTGGGGGCGAGTCATTGGCCCCCACAGAGAGGGTTCGCAACTTGGGTGTCCTCCTGGACTCACGGCTGTCTTTAGAAGAGCATATGACGGCCGTGGCCAGGGGGACTTTTTATCAGGTCCGCCTGATTCGCCAGTTGCGTCCCTTTCTGGATCGGGACTCGTTAAATACGGTCACTCATGCTCTCGTTACTTCCCGCTTGGACTACTGCAATGCTCTCTACATGGGGCTCCCCTTGAGGAGCACCCGGAGGCTCCAGCTGGTCCAGAATGCGGCCGCGCGGGTGGTTATGGGAGCAACGTGGCGCTCCCATGTGACCCCCCTCCTGCGCGAGCTGCACTGGCTCCCGGTGGTCTTCCGGGTGCGCTTCAAGGTTTTGGTTACCACCTTTAGAGCGCTCCATGGCATCGGACCGGGGTATCTACGAGACCGCCTTCTGATACCAATAGCCTCTCACCGACCAGTACGCTCCCATAGAGAGGGGCTTCTCAGGGTGCCGTCGGCCAAACAGTGTCGACTGGCGGCCCCCAGGGGGAGAGCCTTCTCTGTGGGGGCACCTAACATCTGGAACGAGCTCCCCCCAGAGATACGGAAGATCCCGGACCTGCGCACGTTTCGCCGTGCTCTCAAAACTTTTCTATTTCAGCAAGCTGGCCTGGCCTAACTCCCCTCTTTTAAATTTTTTAAATTTTTAATTCGTGATTTTATAAATTGGGTGTTTTAATCTGTGTTTTTGGCCAAAATATTTAATAATTTTAAGGGATTTTTAATATTTGTATTATCTGTATTTTATCTTGGCTGTTCACTGCCCTGAGTCCTTCGGGAGTAGGGCGGTATAGAAATTTGATAAAATAAATAAAAGAAAGAAAGAAAGAAAGAAAATGACCTAGGAAAGGGGAAAACCCCAACGCAATCTGGTTAGGACTATGCCTGATCATTGGACATAAGAGTTTCTTACAGAACAGAAGACAAAAGCCAGAGTGAATGGGGCATGAAGATTGCTAAAATAGGGATAGTTGGCTAGTACACCAAAAGGTTGTTCTACACTGCATTGTTTTGCTGTAGGTCCCATTCAAATTATGTAATTATTACACATTCATTCCACTTAGTTACTCTCCGTTATGATAATCTATGCTTGGTAGAGAATTTTTAAACTACTAACTGGTCTAAGGGAAGCTTCCCCCGCCCTCCATTTTGGCCAATTCCTCATGTCAACAACTCACCCGGCTGTTTAACAAGTCTGAACAATCCTGCAATGCAGTCAATGTTTGGGTGTTGTCTATAATCAGCAGACACCCACTTCGATGGAAGAGGGCGGCCCCTTTCAGTTGACAGCTTTTGTTCTGTTGACAAAGGGAAGTTGTATCCTGGCACACGTCCTGCTGTTGGAGCTTCAAAGTTCATTTGGTGATAACCTGCTAGAAGTAAGGCAACATATGCAGCTGATGGAGCTGGGAGTCATCTCTGGGGGCAACAGTGGGATTTGTCTCCCTGTAAGAGGTCTTCCTTGAGACCATCTACAGCAGAAATAGAAGCTTGCAAGGTGCTCTCAGGTCTGAGGGGTCCTTGGTGCTCTCTGAACTTGCTTGTTTTGCAGACGTTTGGAGAGGTGCTTGGATCCTTTTTGTTCTTTTCTCCACCAGCAATGGAGAAGCAGAGACATCACCCTACCAACAAAAGTGCGTATAGTCAAGGCTAAGGTTTCCCCAGTTGCAATATATGGCTGTGAAAGTTGGACCATAAGGAAGGCTGAGCGTCAAAGAATTGGGGCCTTTGAACTATGGTGCTGGAGAAGACTCCTGCGAGTCCCTTGGACTGCAAGGCGATCCAACTGGTCAGTCCTAGAGGAGATCAACCCTGACTGCTCTTTAGAGGCCAGAATCCTGAAGATGAAATACATTAGCCACCTTATGAGAAGGAAGGACTCACTGGAGAAGAGCCTAATTCTGTGAACGATTGAGGGCAAAAGAAGAAGGGAACGACAGAGAACGAGATGGCTGGATGGAGTCACTGGAAGCAGTTGGCGTGATCTTAAATGGTCTCCGGGGGATGGTAGAGGACAGGAAAGCCTGGAGGAACATTGTCCATGGGGTCGCAATGGGTCGGACACAACTTTGCAACTAAGAACAACAACCACCACCAGCAATGATTGTTTTCTTGCAGAAGTTTCATTACTCAAACTAGGTAACATCTTCACAGCCCACAATCAAGCTCAAGAAAGCACCAAGGACCCCTCATTTCAACCTTGACCTATAAATATTCTTTATCGGTTCTAATAGTGTTTTTTTGGTACCTTGGTAGATAATTTATGGCAAAACTATGTTGGAACCCTGATCATTCTGCTTGCCTGCTTTAGATGCCACGACCGTGGTGCTCTGGAGAAAAGGGCTAGGGGTGACATGATAGCAGTATTCCAGTATTTGAGAGGTTGCCACAAAGAAGAAGGGGTCAACTTATTTACCAAAGCCACCTGTAGGCAGGACAAGAAACAATGGATGGAAACTAATCAAGGGAAAAAACCTGAAGCTAAGGAGAAACTTCCTAACACTGAGAACAATTAACCAGTGGAACAGCTTCATCACTGGAGGTTTTTAAAAAGAGACGATAGTCACTTGTCTGAAATGGACTATAAGGTCTCCTGCTTGAGTAGGGGGTTGGACTAGAGGACCTCCAAGGTCCTTCCAGCTCTATTCTGATTCAAAAATGTCTGTTGGATAGGGAAGCACTGTTTTGTTTGTTTGTTTGTTTGTTTGTTTGTTCAACTTGTATGCCGCCTTTCTCCGAAGACTCAAGGCGGCTTACAATGCATTTAAAAACCATATATAAAAACATTAAAAATTAAAACGTTAAAAACAATTAAAACCCATTCACACCATTCATGGCTGGATCTCGCCAGATCGCAACAGCGAGATCAACGGCCTCAGGCCTGCCGGAAATGGTTTTGCAATGGTTCCAGTCCTTGGGGCTGGGGGAACTACAACTCAATCTTTAAGTCATTGAATTGGTATCCCTTGCTGTTGTTATGCTATTCAACAGCTGGGAAAACTGATCGGTGGGCAGTCATTCAGAGCTTTGAATGTTGTACCGCCAGGGTGTACCTATTTCCCTCTTCGAATCAGCATTTTGAATCTTGTCTAGTTTTGATGCTGGAATGGACGAGGAAGAAGAAGCTGCAATCAAGCAATAGAGCCTTGGTAGTACAGTGGTCTAAAGCACCCTGTTATTAAGACCAGCTGCCTGCAATTACTGCAGGTTCGAATCTCGCCAAGGCTCAAGGTCGATTCAGCCTTCCATCCTTTCTAAGGTAGGTAAATTGAGGACCCAGTTGTGGGGGCAATAAGCTGACTTTGTATAAATATACAAAAGGATGAAGGCTATGGCTTAACGCATTGTAAGCCGCCCTGAGTCTCCGGAGAAGGGTGGCACATAAATCAAATAAAATAAAAAAAAAAAGCAAGAGACTGGTAAAGCAAAAGCTTGAAGCGAGGCCTGCTTTGAATGGGGATTTACTTTCCAAAACGATCAGGTTTGGAAGTATTTTTGGCACCCACTCTTCCTCTGCAAATGAAATCTAGCTCTCCATTCTGAATGTGTTTTCCTCTTGAAAGAACCTTTGAAAATTACGAACGAGGACTCTTCCTTCTCTGCAGAGGCAGGCTAG